CTGCCTTCTTCTTCAGCTTTTAAGGGCCTATGTGGTTACATTGGGCTCATCTGCATAATCCAAAATAAACTGTTATGTTAAAGTGAGTTAATTAGCAATCTCAATTCTATTTGCGAAGTCCCTTCGCAGCAGTACCCAGATTATGTGTGAATGAATAACCAGGTGACAAGAACCTTGGAGGGAACATCTTTAGAATTCTGTCTACCATAGATAAAGAAGGGTCTTCTGAATACATTGTTCAATGATAAAAGCAAGGCACAAAAGAATACTATGCTGTTATTATATAACATGCTATGTTTTATGTGAGAAAGTTTATACTGGAGAAAGAAATGCTAGAAAGTTAAATAACAAACAAAAATTTACCACTAGAAGACAAAGGTTGTGGGTTGGAGTTAGACTTCTCAGTATATATAATTTTAAAAAAGTTTGAATGGTAAAAATATATCTATTAGAAAAAACACTAAAAATAAATTATATCAGTGCAGGCTAAGGAATTCTTCTTTTATTTAATAGTTTTACTCTCATTTAGTTTGATGCTCTATCACAAATTTGTCCAGTGGGACTTCCTTTGAGCTAAATAAATAAAAAGGGAATGCTTGTCTTTAGAGCAAAAATTCAACTAATAAATGTAAAATGAATGATGGAATTTTAAAAAATCACTATTGAGCAACTATCACAGCAATTGATTCGGTCAAGAATCATCAAGGAATAACAACACTAGTAAGAGTTTGAGGAATAAAAGGATATTTATTTACATGGTCTGAAGTATATCCCCAGAAGGTAATAATTATAAGGGAAAATAGTAACTTTGCTGAGTTTTGTGAAATATCCTTGCAGATATCAACCACAATAGGACAAAGAGACATCATATATCTCCTGATATCACACAATGAAAAATCATGGCATTTCTTCTGTGGTGTTTCATGCCAAAAATGTGTAACCTGAATCTAATCATGAGGAAATATAAGACAAACTCAAATGGAAAAACATGTTATAAAATAACTGACCTATGTTCTTCAACAATGCCAATGTCATGGAAACTAAAAAGGCTAAGGAACTATTCTTGATTAAAAGAGATTAAAAAGGCATAACAAGTGTAACAAATTTCTTGTTATAAAGGAATGATACTGGGGCAAATGGTGGAATCTAAATAAATCTGGGTTAAGGGATACAGTTTATTTGTACTTCTCTTGCAACTTTTCTGTAACGCTGCAATTATATTTTGTCAAACAAAAAGAAGGGGAGAGGAGGGAAGGGAAGGAAGGTAAAACCAAAATGAAACAAAAAGAACTGATCCAGGACAGTGAGACGATTATGGCTGCTAGAACAAGTTGGTAGAGAGTAGTGAAAAATAAGGCTGGACAGCAGTGTAGCGGGGACCATGAAAGCCTTTCAAGTCATTCAACATTCACTCATTCAACTAAACATTTATAAATGCTTACTATGTGTCAGGAACTGGCATGAACCAGTTGTTGTGGAAAAGAATGCTAACTGCCTACTAACATCCATTCTTTCTTCCTTCCTTAAATACAGATTTCCCAAGCCCTATCTGGGCACGTGATAATCTATCTAAACTTTACTTCTCAGCTTCTTTTGCATCTATAAATGGCTGCATAAGTAGCTCTGAATAATGAAATGTGAACATAGGCGATGAGTGACACTTTCAAGTGATGCCTAACATTATGGGCTCTCTTGTCCTTTTTACTGTCCTGCAAGCTAAGATGGTTATCAAGAAATTGAGACCTGGAGCAGTGATTTTGAAAGTATGTATTACTTTCACGGTAAAAGTGGTAAAAAAAAAAAAAAAAAAAAAAGGTGGTAAAAGTTCCAAAGCACAGTGGAAGCACAAAGAAAGGAGCAATTAAATGGTTCCATAGGAAAAAAGGTTTCATAGAGGAGGGAATGCTTGAGATGAACACAAAGAACTGAGCAAACACATTTTAAAAAAATGATATATTTAGGGAATAGTAATTATTTCTATTTAAGCTGGAATATGCAAAATATTTAAGCTGGAAAATATGCAAAAATAGCTTTTAAGACTTTTTAGAGTTATGTGTATATAGGGGCATACATGTACATATATATTTGATAAAATAAAAGTAATTTAAGAGATTTGGTACTGATATAAGAATAAACACATTAATGAATAAAAAGAGAGACTAAAAAATTAAATCCAAATACATTAAGATGTGAGTATACAGTTGTCTCTCAGAAGCTGTGGGGAATTAGTTCCAGCAACCCCCTGCAGATACCAAACTGCAGATGCTGAAGTCCTTTATATAAAATGGCACAGTATTTGCATATTATTTAGACATATCTGCACATCCTTCCATATACTTTATATCTAGATTACTTACAATGCCTAATACAATGCCTATACATCATTTCATTTCTGTGGATTCACTCAATGGACAGCAAATTCAAGTTTGCTTTTTGGAACTTTGTGGAATTTCTTTTTCTAAGTATTTTGGATTCATTGTTGGTTGAACCCATGGATGTGCTGGACCAACTGTACTATAAAAATGGTATTTCAAACCAGTGAAAAAGAAATATATCATTAAACAGTGGGCAGACAACTGATATACTATTATACTATTAAAGAAAAAAAGCATGATCCCTTGGTGCCTTGGTCCATAACTCAATCTTGAGACTAAAATAAATTCAAGAATGATTAAATATTTTTGTAGGAAAAAAATGAAATAATAAACATACTAGGCCAGGTGTGGTGGCTCATGCCTGTAATCCCAGCACTATGGGAGGCTGGGGCACGAGAATCACGTGAGCCCAGGAATTTGAGACCAGACTGGGCAACATGGTGAGACCCTATCTCTACAAAAAATGAAAAAACATTTAGCTAGGCATGACAGATGTGTGTGTGGTCCCAGCCACCCAGGAGGCTAAGATGGGAGGACTGCTTGAGCCCAAGAGGTTGAGGTTGCAGTGAGATGTCATCACGCTGCTGCACTTCAGGTTGGGCAACAGAGCGAGACCTAGTCTTAAAAAAAGAAAGAAAGAAAGAAAATGTACTGGAAAAAAGGTATAAATTGACAGGTATGGTGGCTCACACCACCCAGTACTTTGGGAGGTTGAGGTAGGTGGACTGCTTGAGCCCAGGAGTTTGAGAACAGCCTGGGCACCATGGTGAAACCCCATCTCTACAAAAAAATACAATAAAGTTAGCTAGGCATGGTGGTGCACTACTCGGGACACTGATGTGGGAGGGTCACTTGAGCCTGGCTAGGTTGTGAGGCAGCAGTGAGCCGTCATCGTACCACTGCACTCCGGCTTAGGTAACAAGAGTGAGATCCTGTCTCAAAAAGAAGAAAGAAACAAGAAAGGTATGGAAAAAAGTAAAAAAAAAAAAAAAAAAAAAAAAAAAAAATTATGTAAATAATTTATCTAAGGACAAAAAACCCCAGTAGCATAAAAAATTTAAAGAAATTAAAATGAGTAATAAATAAATCTACTATAAACAAAGTAACAACATAATTCCACTCAGAATATCCTGAAAACAGAGGAGGAATATATGTGTAATATGTATGTGTATAAAATATATATAATCATTTATATATAAATGATTTTATAGGGACACTGTATTTCTGGAATACCACCAAAAAACTGGTAACAGTATCTCTGGGAAGAAGGGCTAGGGAAGAGGTCTACTTTATAATGTATATAATTTTAAATTATGTTTATGTGACTTTCTCAATTGAAAAAACTTTAGTTCAAAATTTTAAAAAATTATGCTGATAAAACAGAACTAGACCAAGAATGTCATTAATCCTGATTGACACCATCGCCTGTATCAAACCATACTGGCACAAGAAGATTGGCAGTCATTTTTTTTCTTAAGAAATTAAGTAAATAATCAACTAACTTAAAAAAAACCAAGGGGGGAAGGAAAAAAAATACCTCAACTCACGGTTTGTCCATCCTAGTTTCATAATATGGCCTTATTCTATGTTATCTCAAATATTCCCAGATAATAACATCTTCTCTCACAGACACTCCTCTAATTATAAATCACACAAACATTATTTTCCTCTACTAAACTCTAACATTAAAGTTGTTTTCATTAAAATTTTCATTAAAAATTATTCTGTAGGCAGAAGAGAGGACTTGAAATGTTCCCAACACACAGAAATGATGCTCAAGGTGATATGTTCCCCCAAATACCCTGACTTGATCATTATACATTTTATTCATGTAACAAATACTCATATGTACCCCTAAAATATGTAAAATATGTCAATTTAAAAATTACTTCATTCTGAATGGATATAATATAAACCCCTGACCAAAAGGAACACAAAGCAAAATAAGTATTTTTCCTATCTCTGTATCCAACCTGTCTAGTTCCTCTTCATAGAAATAATCACTGCTATCAGTATACTCCCAGATATTTTATATGTGTGTATATGTCTGTGTGTGACTGCAGATACTAAAATTTTTAAAAACATATGCAAATAGTAGCTTTCTATACAGTGTTTAGCTCTTGTACTTTTTTTTCTCTTTCTTTTTTTGAGACAGAGTCTCACTCTGTCACCCAGGCTGGAGTGCAGTGGCACAATCTTGGCTCACTGCAACCTCTGCCTCCTGGGTTCAAGTGATTCTCCTGTCTCAGCCTCCCGAGTAGCTGGGATTACAGGCACCCACAACCACACCTGGCTAATTTTTTTTTTTGTATTTTTAGTAGAGATGGGGTTTCACCATGTTGGCCAGGCTGGTCTCGAACTCCTGACCTCAGGTGATTCACCTGCCTCAGCCTCCCAAAGTGCTGGGATTACAAGCTTGAGCTACCGCGCCTGGCCAGCTATCACTGATAAGAAGTCCAGTCACATCTAATCATTCTAAATTTTTGTAAAGGTATAAATATGATTATTGCCTAGGTACCTGATAAACTTATTTCATAAATATATCCACATAAATATTGTATGATATACCTCAGACAACTGATCTGAAAATTACTTTTTTAATTTAAAAAACAGATTATAACTTACCAAATCCGTTTCTTTTTTCCTTCTTTTCTTTCTTTCTGTTTTTGGCACCTGACAGGGGGACAGGAGAAATACAGAAATTGTGATAACAAAGACTAACATACTTTCTTACTTCATTACAAATGTTGAGGTACTTGCTCAACAGGTAACACAACAGTTATTTCTTTATTCTTCAAGAGGTACTGTGCAGTGCTAATAAGCAAATGTGAGAAAAAATTTAAAATCTGATAAAACATAATTGCCAATAACAGCAACAGAACGGAAGGACACTTTAGAGATTATTCTTTTTTAAACCTCAGTTCTGCCCAGAAGCCACCACCATATTAATTTAAATGATTATTTTATAAATAAATTATTTTATTATTTAATCATTAATTAATTGATCATTAATTGATTTTTTTTTTTTTGAGACGGAGTCTTGCTCTGTCACCCAGGTTGGAGTGCAATGGTGCAGTATAGGCTCTCTGCTTCCCAGATTCAGGTGATTCTCCTGCCTCAGCCTCCCGAGTAGCTGGGATTACAGGCACACACTACCACACCTGGCTATTTTTATATTTTTTGTAGAGATGAGTTTTCACCATGTTGGCCCGGCTGGTCTCAAACCCCTGACCTCGTGATCCACCTGCTTGGCCTCCCAAAGTGCTGGGATTACAAGCTTGAGCCACCACGCCCAGCTGATTTTTTTCTTTTCGTTTTTTTTTTTTGAGACGGAGTCTCGCTCTGTTGCCCAGGCTGGAGGGCAGTGGTGCAATCTTGGCTCACCACAACCTCTGCCTCCCGAGTTCAAGCAATTCTCTTGCCTCAGTCTCCCGAGTAGCTGGGACTATAGGTGCGCACCACCACACCTGGCTAATTTTTGTATTTTTAGTAGGGACAGGGTTTCACTATGTTGGCCAGTCTGATCTTGAACTCCTGACCTTGTGATCCCCCCGCCTCAGCCTCCCAAAATGCTGGGATTACAGGCGTGAGCCACTGTGCTCAGCCGATTGTTTTAAAGATTTTACTTCCCATATTTTAGCTCTAGAAAACTACCATGGAGCTAAATATATATACAAAAAGGTAACATTTGGGACATGGAAAAACTCTTTTACATATGACATTTCCTGATAATCATAGTACAGAACAATCTTTTTTTTTTTTTCTGAGACAGAATCTCGCCTTGTCACCCAGGCTGAAGTCCAGTGACACGATCGTGGCTCACTGCAACCTCCACCTCCCGGGTTCAAGCGACTCTTCTGCCTCAGCCTCCCGAGTAGCCGGAACCACAGGTGTCTGCCACCACGCTTGGCTAATTTTTGTAGTTTTCAGTGGAGACGGGGTTTTACCATGTTGGCCAGGCTGATCTTGAACTCCCGACCTCGTGATCCACCCGTCTAGGCCTCCCAAAGTGCTGGGATTACAGGCGTGAGCCACTGCGCCCAGCCAGTACAGAACAATCTAAACCCAACCTTTTAACTTAAAAACAAAGGCAGTACAAGCCTAGTAAGACTCTTCTTCAGTATAAAATAAATACCTCAACCTAGATCTGGAACTGAAGAACTTTCCAGAACTTTTTTATATCTGACTTCAAAAATGGGATTGAAGAGGTTTTGGAAATCTAAATACATATAAGGTAGAATAACTAAAAATAAAATGGAATATAATACAAAATATTGATGGTATTCTTGATGAGAATAGGTATCTAATTATTTCATCTGGGGTACTGAAAAGAAACACATTGATAACTTTGTCTAAGCCTGATGTCTCTTCTGTAATATGGATTTTATAAAAATTATTTAATAAGGCTGAAGCAAGAATTAAATAAAATATACAACACCGAGTACAATTCTCAGGCTATAATAGGCACTCAAAATAAAAAGGTTATTATTATTATATAGACTTCCCAAAACACATATTTTCCTAAAACTTAATTCAAGAATAAATATAATTTGTAGGTTTTTATAAAGAGGCCACTGGGTAATACAATGAATTACATCTTTAACTATAATTTTTCAAAAGTAAATTCAGATACTGATCTTTTTTTTTTTTTTTTTTTTTTTTTTTTTTTTTGAGACAGAGTCTCGCTTTGCCACCCAGGGTGGAGTGCAGTGGCGTAACCTTGGCTAACTACAACCTCTGCCTCCTGGGTTCAAGTGATTCTCCTGCTTCAGCCTCCTGAGTAGCTGAAATTACAGGTGCCTGCCATCATGCCCAGCTAATTTTTGTGTATTTACTAGAGACGGGTTTTTGCCATGTTGGCCAGGCTGGTCTCGAGCTCCTAATTTCAAGTTATCTGCCCACCAAGGCCTCCCAAAGTGCTAGGATTACAGGCACGAGCCAGCGCCCCACCCCGATCCCTATTAAAGCTAAGAGTATAATCTTGAGGGCAGAACACTATATTTTAACTCAGTGAACAATGTATTGATTGCAGATGGTTTAGAAAATATGGTCTGATAAATTGTAAGACAGAATTAAGTTTGGAGGATCTAAAGTGGCGCTAAGCTGACATGTTCCCTGTAATGTTTTTCTCAAATACAAGATGTCTCAAATGCTCTTAAAAAGAATTCATAATTAAATCCTTTTAGTGATCAAAATATATCACATTTACCTTTGTAGCTGTGTAATCTGAAGTCTTGAATTCATTCATATATTCATCTAAAAACACTTTAAAAGTGTTGACCCAAACTCTCACTGGAGATTCACCCAGTGAATCCCGCTGCTCCAGCCTCATTGTCTTTTCCAGAATCTGTTCAAATAGTGCATAGAGGTCTTTATACCGTATGCTTTTCCCATCATCCATCTATAAGCAATAAGAAAAGAAACGTATGGTTTTATAAAGAAACTCTTTAAATATAGAGGAACGGTTACACTTGTAATGGGGTAGTATTTAGAATAAAGATGAGGATCCTGATACAATTTCTAATGAGCATGCCCATGAGATCCTGTGGCATTTGTAAACTCCCATTCTAGTATGGGATGAATGCAGAATAAAACATGCTAAATTTTAGTAAAAAACCGAACTGTAATAATTTGAGGAAGTCTCGAGAATTTCTCTTCTAAATGTGACTTTTTAATTTTATGTAGCTATAAAGGTTATTTGCATCCCTCTTAATTACTTACCTCCCCAGAAATGAACCTTGTTTAGATGGTTCTACTCTAAAATTGAAAGAATGAATACTTGAATTGTTGCCTAAGGATATATTAAGTAACCAATTTATTTTTCCAAAGAAGAGTGACATGCCCAGAGTAACATCATATTATTTGCAAGAAACTGAAATAGAATTTCTTTTATTTAAATAAGATCCGGATTTTTTTTTTTTTTTTTTTGAGACAGAGTCTTGCTCTGTCACCCAGGTTGGAGTCCAGTGGCATGATCTTGGCTCACTGTAACCTCCACCTCAAGCCACTGAATAGATTCAATCCATTCTCCTGCCTCAGCCTCCCCAGTAGCTGGGATTACAGGTGTACACCACCATACCCAGCTAATTTTTGTATTTTCAGTAGAGACGGAGTTTCACCATATTGCCCAGGCTGGTCTCGAACTCCTGACCTCATGATCCACCCGCCTCAGCCACCCAAAGTGCTGGGATTACAGGCTTGAGCCACTGTGCCCAGCCAAGTAGAGTATAAATTTAGAAGTTTTCCTGATTTTTCTCTTCACAGTGAATTAATATATTGAACAATGAAAAGCCAATAAAATATGAATTATTTTACAGAATATGATAATTCATAAACACGAATGCTTCTCTAGACCAAAGCATTAATTGCACACACCAAAAATAAATGTTCTAAAACATGACCAATATCATGTGAAAGTATAAGGTAAATTTCAAAGTGATATAAACTGATAAGTAGAAATCAGTGACCATAAACTAACTGCCCTAATTCCATTAAAAGAAAACATATAATGCATTCCTCACACAGGAAAATTAGACATTATAGCCTAGCAATACAGCTAAAAGGATTATGAAAAGTCACAGGGAAAACAGAATCATACCCAGGACATCTGAAGTCAGTACCTTAAAAGACGAAAAAAAACAGCTGTAAGGTGGGAAAAAGCTACTCAAGGAAATTCAAGTAAGCTTTTAATCTGAAACCATTCAGTACGTTTTTCCTTGTCTATCCCTAAAACAAAAACAAGGAACTGGAGAAATCTCTTGTGAATCATGGCTTTTGTATTATCTTCTACAGCACTGTCAAATTTTTCATATGCTGAACTACTAAATATCTCCTAACATAGTCCAACTCACCGCCAATGCAGATGAATAAAAGCTGAAGATATTCTGCCGAAATTCCTTCAGGGCTTTTTTAAATACAACATCCACTAGTGTATCCTTCTTGCTGTCTTCATTATCTAGGTCATTCATCTGGGAACCACAAAACCAGTTTTGGTATACAATCAACTAATTGAAAAGAAGTAAATACAACAATAGCCATGTATTGTCTCTTCCACAATGACTGTCCTCAAAGTGCAAGTCACAGGCTATTATAGGACTCAGGTAAAAGTATGACTAGATAGTCAAACTATAATTACTACTCCATGATTTCTAAGGTCCCTTCTAACATTGTATGATTCTATAGTTCTGTTACAAGAAAACTCTCACGTGCAACAAGTTGCACCTTCCCATATGAAATGGGACAATTTTAGTAAAATTAAAGTCACTACTAAAGCCTACAACCTTAAATCCTGTCTACCCTGTCTGACTAATGCATATCCTATTATTTGCACCTTTCTGGTAAAGAACAGACCATCTAAAGCATGGAAGCCTATGCAATTTTGATATCTAGAGGATATATCCTGATATACACAAGTATTCCATAGACAGAGCTGCTAAGGGGCCTAACTTGGCAAATAAAGTGTACCTTTTTCAGAAGAAATTCATCCATGCTTTTTAAATCACTGACACTTGCTATGATCTGGACAGAGTCATTTTGCCAATGCATAGAATCCAAAGCCACGTTGCTAATCTTCACACTTCGCTTGCGCTTAGCCTTTGGAGAAGGTTCTTTGTTCTCTTTGAACTCCTTCCGGCAACTGCCAGGCAGTTCTGGGCTCAAAGGAGGTGTTGGGTGATATTGAGCTAACTCTACAATTCAAGATGGAAGACCCGAAAGGACACATTTAGTAAATATATTGATAATCTTCACATCCTTCTTTTTAAGGTTCCTTTAGTAAGTCACTGAAGGAAACATGCAAATATATGAAAAGCAAAGTAACATTAATGTGTGAAGTCAGGCAGCTACGCAATAAATCCAGATGACACATTTGTACAGAAAATGTATTTAAAAATTACCATTTTTCTTTTTTTTTTTTTTGAGACGGAGTCTCGCTCTGCCGTTCAGGCTGGAGTGCAGTGGCCGGATCTCAGCTCACTGCGAGCTCCGCCTCCCGGGTTGACGCCATTCTCCTGCCTCAGCCTCCCGAGTAGCTGGGACTACAGGCGCCCGCCACCACGCCCGGCTAGTTTTTTGTATTTTTTAGTAGAGATGGGGTTTCACCGTGTTAGTCAGGATGGTCTCGATCTCCTGACCTCGTGATCCGCCCGTCTCAGCCTCCCAAAGTGCTGGGATTACAGGCTTGAGCCACCGCGCCCGGCCTAAAAATTACCATTTTTCGAAGGGAAATGATATCCTATCTCCCAAGAAGCTGAGGTCTGATATTAAAAACCTGGATAGAAATGCTTTGCAGGACACCAAGTTAGATCCCAAAGACCTCAGTCCCAAAGAAAAGAAGAGAATATACAACCATACTAGCATATTAAATACTCACTGTTAACAAAGTCATAGCTTTGCTACACGTTTGAAACAACATGTGTAGCTATATACAAGTCCAACAAACTAGTGGAGTTTGATAATTATTATTATTTCTTTACTACAGTCTAAAGTCCTGAATACTTCTGTGATAACATTTGGTGATTGCTGGCAACCTGTTAGGGAGTCAAGTAACTCAACTGGCTTACTTCTGCTTGGGTGTCTTCAGCATTTAGGATTTTCTTAAACATCCCCCACATAACTGTCAATTTATTTTCTCTACAATTTTTCTCTGCAAATGTTTACAACGGAGAAATTAGATTCCATGTAGCCCATTACAATTTAGAACTAGACCAGATTTGCCAAAGTCCTATCTGGAGCTTGATGAGAATGTTGGCCTCCTCTCATTTCACATGCTTGTCTTCCCAACGTGTATGCTCTTTACCTTCTGTCCAATGGTATATCCTGATTCCATCTAAACTAACTTTGACAATAAAGGAAAAAAGTAGCCTCCTACATGCTAAATACCACCTCAGGCAGGAATTGAGACAAACCCAATCTCAACTATGACATGAGAGTAAAGAATATAAAGATATAGGATACAACTATATTCAAACATATATCAACTGATTTTAATTCTGTTATACAGCTTAGATATATTAAGTATCTAATTATTTTATTTAGCAAAGTCAGTATCTTTATTAATAAAATAAACATTTATTAAAGAAATTATCCATAATCCCATATTAGCATTAAAAACAAGGGCTACCTTAATACATTTTTTCCAAATACAAATAAAAAGCTATAATCCTAACTTTTATACATGTGTCATTATGAAGCAAACACACAACAAAGTTTGCTTATAATATGAATTTTCAATTAGAGTTTATACTTCTTTCTCAAGAATGAGCAGCAAAGAATATACAATTGTGGGAAATAAAAAACTTCGAATGATGACTGTCAACCAGATGAAATTGATCACCTTAGTCACTCAATAGCAGGGAATTCTGTTTCCCAAACCTGTAGTATTCATTTAACTTGTTATTGGTTTTATCCACATCCATTTGTCAACTGGTAGAAGCAAAGCCGTAAGATACAAAAACAGGGGTCTAACTACCTTTCCACCATTTTTTCCTCTGGCATAGAGAGCTCAAGCCCATCCATCCCTCTGGGAAGCTTGATGATTTTTCCTCCTTGTTTCTCTATTTTATCCCAGATATGGGAAGATTTTGGTTTCTTATTTTAACTGGGTCTGTTCTATCCTGCCTTAGACTTTCTTCCGAGGACCTCTTTCTATTTTAGTCAATGCTAGTATTTCACCCACATTACCATATACCCACCTTGGATGTATATCCCTGTTGAAGATAGTTGGTATCTTTACATAGTAGCTAACAACTCTCAGGCATACCTGAGAAAAGGGCTTGAGAAGAAGGGGTAATCTTCTAACATTAGGATAACATGGAGAATAAGTAATTTTCCCATTTAGAAAGGTCAGTTTTCTGAAAGATGAACTAACTGTTGAGTACTTCTCAAATGTGTTATGCTGCATGCCCAGAAAGTTAAAATAAGAGCTATGGGACTGGGCATGGTGGATGATGGCTGTAATCCCAGCACTCTGAGAGGCTGAGGTGGGAGGACAGATTGAGCCCAGAAGTTAGAGATTACAGTGAGCTATGATCACACCACTCCAGCCTAAGCAACACAGTGAGACCTTGTCTCTAAAATTGAAAAATAAGAGCTATTATAAAGTGCCAGGCATCTGCTAGATACTGAAATATAGCAAGTACTTAATATACAACACAGTGGTTAAGACTGTGGACTCTGGAGCAGGACTGCCTGGATTCAACTCTTAGCTCTTCCAGTTACCATATGTACATACATAAATAACTTTTCTTTTTTATTTATTTATTTGAGACAGGGTCTCACTCTGTCTCCCAGGCTGAAGTGCAGTGGTGTGGTCACAGCTCACTGTAGCCTCAACTTCCCAGACTCAAGTGATCCTCCTACCTCAGCCTCCCAAGTAGCTGGGACTACAGGCACACGCCTCCATGCCTGGCTAAATTTTATATTTTTTGTAGAGATGGGGTTTCACTATGTGCTCAGGCTGGTGTTGAATTCCTGGACTCATGTGATCTGCCCACCTCAGTCTCCCAAAGTGCTGGGATTACAGGTGTGAACCATTGTGCCTGGCCTAATAAAAAAACTTCCTGTGCCTGAGTTTTCTCATCCATAAATTGGGAATAATAAGTATACCAACTCTCAAAAAACTGTTGTCAGGAGCAACTGACTTAATAACCATAACATGCTTACTACAGTGCGTTGCATGCAGTAAGCACTCAAATATTAGCTGCTATTAGCTATAACCAGTAATACATAGGTTAAATGAATGAATAATGGCTACATTTTTACAGTTTAGAAAACTAAGACTAACCTATGATACACAGTCATTTTTGAGGTGGTTGCTGCTTCATTGTTTTGTGACACATTTTTTGGGAACTTCTATTGTAGGAAAAATGTAACTTTATTTTTTAGTTAAGGAAGGATTTAACAATGCTGGTCCTATCTCATTAGAACATCCAGCCAACAGAATTGACATTATAAATACTACAGGAATAGCAAACTTTCGGAAAGAGTGAACAGAAATTAAGAACATAAGCTCCACTCTTTCGTCACTTTTACCATCTGGAAACTGATGAGCTGGAATCACATCTGCGCCTGTGAAGACTGGCGAAACCTCTGACTGAGTAGTAGGCTTCACTCTAGTCGTCTTCTTCTCCCCTTGTTTCCCTTTGGCCCAGAATCTCATCTTAGCTCTTTGAGGTCTGTTTAAAGAAATAAAGGTAAAAATGGAAATTAGAATATCTCAGTGGTAGTATTTGTATATATCACTTTAAGCTTTACAAACCTTCTATGTATATTAGCTCATTTAAGCTTCACATTTAAATTAAGTATATTTATCTTTATTTTTGCATTTAAACTTCACCTGGAAGATGAAAAATTATTTAACTTCTCTGGGTTTTGTTATTTCTATATTCAGATGAGGAAACATCTTGAATATAGAAATAACAAAACCCAGAGAAGTTAAATAATATTTCTAAAATAAAACAGCCACAAAGCAGTGGAGCTAGAATTCTAACTCAAGTTTTCTAATTCCCAAACTGGTTTCTTTTCATTCTTGTCCCCCATCCAGCTTGGATTCAGTATATACACAATTTAACAACAAAGAAAATACTTTTTAAAGAAATCACTAATAATCCTACCACTCTAAAAAACATTAGTTTTACATCACTGTTATGATGCACACAGAATTTTAAATCTTTCCACTCACCAGTACATAATAAAAGCTTTAATGTCACTATTTTATATTCATGAGTTATTAGTATTATTAATAACAGTCACTTATTTGAACTTGTATCATGCTCCAGGCACAGTGCTTACAAAATTTAATTATAATATCAATTTTTCTTTTTTCTTTTTCCTTAAAGACCAGGTGATAGTAACAACTTTGCTTTTAACAAACTAGTATAAATATGATACAGATGAAAAACTGGAGACTTAAATATTAGGTAACTTTCCGAAAGTTTCACAGTGAGTGAAAAATTCAGAACCACATCTATTATATTGTATTGCCTCTTCTTAGTGCTTATATACGCTTTCATAATATACATCAAAGAAGTACCTTACAATAACAATGGCATGTAGTTACTGACCTCATAGTTGTAGGTTTATTTGTATATTAATTTATCTGTTTATTTGTCTGTTCATTCAATTAAAAATTTTTGAGTATGTACTAGGTGACAAGCACTATGCCTTACATATGATATTTCTAATTTTCACAACTACTGTGATAAACAGGTATTATTATCCTTACTTTACACATGAGCAAACTAAGGCTTAGAGGTCCGATGGAGATGGAAGTTAAAATCAAGTCTATCTGGTTTTGAAGCCCATGCTCTTTCTTTCTTCCTTCTTCTTTTCCTTTTTTAATTTTTTTAAAAAAAGCTTATTACTAAACTCATACATTTATACATTAAAAAGAGAAATTGTTCTACATGACTTACTAAAAACAACAGTATCTCTCCGCCATGCTCACCCCATTTGCTGCTCCCTAGAGGCAACACTTTTGAATTGCTTTAACTAATTCTTCTGATATTTAACGTGCTTCTGTAACTATCATACTCATGGCCACAGATAAGGATTAGGCATGTTCCACCATTCCAGTCCTAACCCCACCACAAACATGTGCTCCCGAAAGAATTATACTGTAATTTTAGTTAGATCAATATTCAGTATTTACTTTTAATAATATTCAGTATTTATTTTTATTATGTAAATAATATTCACAGTTGAGGGATGTAATTCCCTAAACGATCTACTTTATTCTAGAGGATTTTTAAAATTTGCTCATGAAAACTGATTTTTCATTTGCTCATTTTCTATATACAATTCACCTCCACGTGTTTCCCCATTTCTATCAACTCTCAATACATTCAAATATATTAGGTACTTTCTCAGTTTCATCTTATTGAAAAAAATCTCTCCCAGAGCCTTCTAACTTGCTCCAATTTGGAGTGGTTTCCCTCATTGCTTGCTGTGCAGTTGTTATTTGAAAAGCTACTTTCATCATAACAGAGATTCCTTTTGTCTCTTTTGTTTCATAACATGTCTTTTGGTATGGGTCTGTTTTCATTCATTACGTTGGGCACTCAGTGGCATCTTCGAATCTGGAAAATCATGTCCTTCAGTTCCGTAAAATTTGGCTGAATTATTTTATTAATAATTTATCCTCCATTTTCTTGGTTCTATCTTTCCAAAGTTCCTACCATTGGGTCACTGGATCTCCTGAATGGAGCTTCTAATATTCCCATCTCTTCCATTTCTTCATTTTTTGCTCAACGTTCTGAGACATGTCCTCAACTTTCCTTCTGATTCTTGAGTTGCTCCTTTACATTATCATATTTTTAATTTTCAAAAGCCCTTTTTATTATGGATGTTTCTCTTTCACGCACCATTTGGTTTCATGAATACAATTGTATTTGTTGTGCAGAAGGTCTGTTGATAGTTATAGTTGTCTATCTTGAAGTGTTCTATTCCCTGCATAGTTGATTTCTTCCAAGTTGTATTTTATCTGTTAGTTTTGGTTTCAATATAAGGTATTTCCTCAAATGTATGGTGATCAGTGGTATGTGATTAATATTTAAAGTAGGGTTAAAAAAAAGAAAAAAAAAAAGCTGCTTGGAAGCTCTAATGTGCCTTGGTGGGGCTGCTAAAATATGGTCTTCCTTATAGGGTTATCTGGTTGGTTGACTTTGCAGGGAGAGCTCCTGATAGTAAACTCTTTGAACCATTTGCTCAGAGGGTATGGGAAATGAAGAAGGCTGGGAAATCTTAACATTCTGTATGTAAACAGTCATTAAATCCCTATGTTCCAAATATGTGCCCCAGCCCTCAATTTTACCTAGTAAACTCCAGATCCAGAGATACTCTGTTTTATACTTTCCAGATAATAAATTTCTTGTTCTGCTATAATTAGGGAAGGTCATCCAGTTAGATGTATCTTTCTCAGCTTTACTCAGCTGGATTAGGATTTGGCTTTCTCGTATGTATTAACATATTTAAAATTTAAAGTCCATTTATTTTTTGGATTCCATAGTTTTACTGCAGTTGTCTTCACTTCTGAGTTTTTTTGAAGGGGAGAACAGTCCTTTGTAGATTTTGTCATTTTAGTAATTGTAGGGGAGGATGTGGAAATTAAATATACATAATCTATTATTTCCAGATGTATGTTCTTCTACTGTGTTATATCTTATTTCTCAATATTTGATTTCTAGTATTATTTGCTCTGGATTTGGGTTACCTTAAATTATACCTCTACAGTCAGTGAAAAAGTGGTCTTTAATATGGTTATGAACCAGAAAAATTTCAACATAATCTTGTAAGTTTTCAGTGAGGCCCAAATGCTTATACAACATAATGAGGGACAAAGATATTTATTTGAAAAATAAAAATTCCATAAGCTCTCTTAAAGAGAAAAGAATTATCTCCTGAAAGTTCTTTTCAGTTCCATTTCTAAAATACTTACCTCAGAACAGAATCCAAGTCCAAAGCTTGCATCTATTTAGTCTCATCTAAGTAACACTAAATCTTATTTAGTCTCAGCCTCTTTTACAACAAAATACCATAAGTCATATAACGATTTGGAGACTTTCCCCAAATCATACTGCTAAGTATAGAGGGAGATAAAGCTCATTATATTGAAAGGAACCAGTATGTGCCACCCCAAAGTATTCCTCTCTGAGATAAATATTTTTAAGCTAAAGGCAATTAAGAAGTAGGTGCAGAAAAGCTCTCTACCCTACTGTTCCCCTAAAAGCAGGATATAAATTTGTAAAGGTGTTCTTTCTTCCCTCTCTACCAACAAGGACGGAAGTTAATCACTGGAGACAGTGTAGACCTTTATCAGCTAGAAATGACATCAGAGGAATCTACTAACTTTACTCCATTAGTTTCCCCATAAATTTACCTTCCCACAGTTTTGTCACCTTTGGAAGCCTGAAACTGCTTATCTTTGTCTTGTCACTTCTCTAAAATTTATTGTTCATTGTTGAAGACAATATATAAGTCAGATTCCTAAACCACTGTTTTGAGTTACTTTTCCTCTGTATGATGTGCATGTACTATATGCACTAACTTGCGTATTTTTCTCTTGTTAATCTGTCTTTTGTTACAGGATTCTGTCCCAACCATGAACTTTTGAGGGTTGAGGGAAATTTTTCTTCTCTTCTCTTCAATACGTATCTGAACTACTATGTGCCTATAAACAGTAGGTACTTACCATTTCTTGAAAAATTGGTAAATAAGCTTAATTTCAAAAGTGGCCTATCAATTCCAGTTTTTTAAAAAAGCTCAGTACTTAACTATAGTCAATTATCAAATAAAATTATATTACCCCATTAACTCTATGTATACTTTATACCTTATATCTGAATCTGAAGCCTTCTGTCTCACTGCCAACTTGGTAATCTCTCCTTGAGACATAGTCTTATGAAGCTTTGCTTGTTCATCAACTGATGAAAATCGCTGTGATGTCTGTAATAATTACATATGTGAAAGATTTAATGCCAAGTAAATATATGATAGCACTGTAATTAAAATTCAGGTTATAGAATTACTTGAGCTATTTAAAAACACACAAAAACATTCATATTATTCAGAGATTCATTGAAATAATAGAGCCTACTGAAAACTTTATATAAAGTAATCTGAAATAAAGAGGACTTGGTCAATGAAATAAACAGGATCTACCGGTTCATATTTTCTGACAATTTAAAAAGGAATCTCAACTGGAGAGGCAAGAAAGTAAAAACCATTTAAAGATATAGAGAAAAGATGCAGGATCTAATAAATCTAGAGGGCTAACTATTGTTTTTCAAATCTCCTTTTATTTATCCCAAAAGGTGGCTATTACTTTTATGGCTTAATTTGCTATTATAAATTCTTCATGTATCTAATCAATAATTTAAAAGAGATGGAATATACAATGATTTTTAAAGAGCCAAAAGACGAAAGAATAAAGGCTCATTACCATCATTAATGGTCTAAATTATAAACAACTTATAAGGCTATCAAACTGTGACCTGATTTTTAATTGGCAGTTCTTGTTCCATTTGTTTAAAATGTGTCCCTCTAAAGACAATCCTGTCCTGAGGAGAGAATTTCTTGTTATCTGTTCAAGTCATTTCCTAATATTTCATTTTTCTGTAGTTATAATATTCTTTCTTTAGTCTTTTGGACTGTGTGACTATGGCCTTATTAACAGAAAGAGGAAATACCCTAAGTTGGCAAAGATGAAGTAATAGGGATCTGGTCTACCCTCTTACATGAAACCAACAAAAAACCCAGACAAAATAATATGAAACCGCAATGTTTAAAACAATGGACAGATATCCCTGACAGATGGGGAAAAAAGGAAGTATGTCCTACACTTGTCCCATCTTACTGCCTTGAGAGTTTCTAGGCCGTGATGCAGAGAGAGGGAAACCAGGTGAAACTTGACAGACTCTGAGTGGAACACATGAAGCTGAAAGTGAACATGATGACTAGAGACCAAAAGACAGAGTACTGGAGAGGAGTGAGAAGCACAAAGACAGAACTCTAGAGATCTACCGAAGGTCCACATTGAATATTCAGCTTGAGTACTAATCAACACTTTGTATGAGAAAACAACCCAAGACCAGGAAAAAGATCACTTCAAAGGATTAAAGGTAATTGAGCCCATCACTCACAAAAGGTCAGTAATAGTGTCTATGCCCAAGAGCCAGAGGACATAACTTTATGATTCCCAGGGCACTGGGCAAAGTGTACAGAGGATCTCACCTCAATAGTCAAGAATAATTAGCCTTAGACTGAGTACTGTTTGGGTCTAACAAATCTATTTTTTTTTTTTAAGAGACAGGGTCTCGCTCTGTTGCCCAGACTGGAGTGCAGTGATACGATCACAGCTCACTGCATCCTTGCACTCCTGGGCTCCAGTTATCCTCCTGCCTCGGCCTTCTGAGTAGCTGGGACTACAGGCACATGCCTCTGTGCTCAGCTCTTATTTTCCAGACCTCTATGCAAATAAATTGAAAAGTTAGATGAAATTGATAATTTTATAAGAAAAAAGTGTTCACCAAAATTGACCCTGTTAGATAAAAGGTTTAAAAAAGACAAATTTCCCTAGAAGAAAAAAAGAAAAACTTATCAAGGAACTACACCACAAAAAAGTATCACTCCCAGGTGGTTTCATAGAAAATTCTGCCAAATCTTCAAAGAACAGATAGTTCAATGCTATAAACTAGTCCTTTTTTTAGAGGAATAAAATACACATATGAATACTAAGTGTATAGTCAACAGTGTGGCTGCTGTCTTAAGGCTGACAATCCAAAACTCTTACGTAATAAACTTTGTTCAATAACAACCAGTTTTCTACATGCAAGACCGACCTCAAAATCACCTAGCCCAGGTCCTAAAACTTTATGAATATCCTCTCCTGACTTCTCCCTTGTGAGATATTACTAAGATACAGTCAAAGTGGGTTTTTTCTTACTGTAATAAGCTAATAAACAGCTTTGTTTGATCAACAGGTTTTTCTGGCAGTCCATGGAATAGACATCAGAGAGAAAGAAAATTCAACACAGATAAGGATTAGAGAGTATCTCAGAGAACAGCAGAAACAGGAATATAAGAAGTGACAGCAGTTTGGGGGGAATAATGAGAAATTTAATTTTACTATGCTGGAAGTAATAAAGATTGAAATTCTGGAGAGCTATTCAGGAGTCATATCCATAGAGATGATTGCTTTAAATTTAGGGGATGATAAAAGAAAACTGTATAGAGAAAAGTATAATGTTTCTAATACTAATCCTATAAATAAGGAATAGAAATGATTCTACTAACCCGCTTACCATCCAGAAAACGGAGAAACTAAAAAAATATATAAAAGTTACCTTAAAAAAAAAAAAATGTTTAGCAGAACATGCCATTCTTCTTGAATAAATGCCAACATGGTGTGTATAAAAATGGAGTGAGAGCAGCATACAGAAACTAAACAGTTATTCAAACGGCAGAGTTTGAAGTAAGAGGTTAAAAAACACCAAAGTCACTAAGGAGGGAAACTACTACACTTGTTTCCCCTCCCAGAGCAGGTAACAACTGATTAATAATTTAAAAACTCAACAGGTAATGCTTATGAAATCTCCTTCAATTCATTTGTGAAAGTCTTTATCCCATTAGATTGAGTTACTTCACAATTAGAAAGGTCATACAGCAATTTCTTCCAAGATTTAATGACACACTTCAGAGTAATAAAATCAGTTTGTTCAGAAAAAAAAATCCAGTTTTTAAAACTCCATGTACCTAGAAAATCAAATCCATTTAAAATCCAGAAAATATCTGGATTGTGAGATAGCAGTAGATTTTATTTAGACATAATACATCTTCATCTTCACAATATCAGATAATGTTAGAACATGGAATATTCTCAAGATAAATAAAAAGAGAAACATATTTAAAAATTGTTCCTACCCACCCCATCCCCAACCCCAGTAAGTATCTATCCGCATATTCTACAAAGCAAAGCTGCTTCATGCAGTGTCCACAAGAAACAAGCACCATCACCTGTTCCTAAAATAGCTCGTGATGAAAGAGAAGGAAAGGAGAAAGCTGGAGACATGACTAACACACTGTGCAGGGAAGTGCTCTACAACTACTGGCATGCAGTGACCGTCAAGCAGGTGAACAGAGGCTAGAACACTGAAAGGAGCTGAATGCTCCAAGCAGAAAGCCCAACTTCCTGGTTCATCTCAGTAAAAGTTCCCAGTGTAAAAAAAGTCTATCACCAAAAGGACTAAGGGTTGTTACAAAGGAAACTCTCAGGAACAAAACAGCAGTCATAAATGCCAAAGTTTTTCTGCAAACAATAAATCTATGTATACTAGACAAAGCAGGACTTCTCATTAAAATTAGTTTATTCCATTACATAATTTCGTATTTAACTGTTAATCAGATAACACAGTATATTTCCTTATTTATAACTCAAATACAGGGCACCTCTAAAATGCTGTTATTTTATTCTACACTGAAGATTTTGGCTCTAATTATATATATTAACAGATACACAGAATGTTTCCAGTTTCTGTAATCCTACAGTTCGGCTCAGGTTAATGACTCATTTATCTAATCAGGGGACTTGTCCTGCATTCTTCTCTTTTTGTTGTTTTTGCCTTCATAAAACATCAGTTTTGTCACTTAAAAACTGGGTATACCTCCAACAAAAGAAAAAGGCAACGAGATTATTCTGGACAATAGGAGAAATTTCAATTAACTAAATCTTGGACAATTCAAACAGCTTAAAACAGTTCAAAGATAGAATATTTAATGAGTCAAATAAAGATCATTCTAAAATTTTTCTCCAATAATTGACAGACACTAAAGAATATTAGAGAGCTCAGTTACAGATATGCATGGAAATAAAACGTTATTTCACTCCACTTCATCAGTGATGTTTTGGTTCATATTAGACATATGGTCCTTACATTATATATTTCTAGGACAATTCCAAAATGAAACTCTTTGCCTTAATATACCCATCAATCCACTAATACTTGTCAAACCACATATACACCTGATTTCGGCTGAAAAGGTGATATAGTTATATTCTTAGCTTAAAATAGTGCAGCTTTATTCAAACGCAACACCAATGTTATATTGTGTGATTAATGCAAATTCACATTATATATAGCCTTCTATTTGGCTGGGTTGGTCCAGGAAGACACTTTTTGCTCACTGTATGTTTAAAAATTCATGTTTATTTCTTATCAGTGAAAAGTGAGGTGGAGGAAGCAAGTTTACAGGCAAAAAATGTACAAGTGCATTGTAGCTAAAAGCTACTGGATTATTTCAGACCAAGGATCAGTAAACTAAACCAAGGATCAGTAAACGATGGACAACAGGTCAAATACAATCTACTGTCTGTTTTTGCAGTTTTATTACAAGACAGTCATGCCCATTTGTTTACTTAGTGTCTACGGCTGCTTTCACACTATAGTGGCTAAGTTAAGTTGTTAAGTTAGGTAGTTGCAATAGAGCCTACATGCCCCACAAAGTCTAAAATATTTATTATCTGACCTTTTAGAGAAAAAATGTAAGGACCACTGCTCTAGACCTTTTAAGATACAACATGGAAAATTTCTACATTAGTGCTAAGTCAAATAATCTTAATTTTGCCTAATTTATACCTTTTTAAAGTGCCATTTGAGTTCTATTAAATTAAGGTTTAGCTTAGTTGCTGTGTTCACTGAGGTTTCCCATGTACAAACCGTTACATGGGAAGAAGCTGTGAAGGTTAGCTTTAGATTAGCAAAGACTATTTCCATCAGATTTGCTTGCTATTTTTCTTATATTGCTGTAAAATTACCATTTCGGAGTCACTGTGAGAGGCCTGATCCAGGCTGGGTGTAGGCCCTAGCTCACAGTGAGAAGCTTGGTCAAGGGAGAGAAGGGGCTCAATAATGTCATCGTAATCGTCTTCCTCTGTATCCCCCTCCCCATCGGCAAAAGTACCTCTAGTCAAGAAATCGGAGCGCGTCCGCGCCATTCGAGCTTTCTTTTTATGGGCCGGTCTGGCAACCTGCTTGACCAAATGATAAAACAAATAACACAACAATGTTTGGGTTTTTTTTTCTTTGTGAGATGATGCCAATGAAAGACATCAGAGGGCTCATGAATTTCTTGAAATATCCCTCCACCCCACCATGCCCTTTCCACTAGGAGAAGTGACAGGGATGACCAAAAGGAATTTGATACATTACTCTGGACGAAGGACGAGAATGAAAGCTAAATCTACACTGTTCTACATAGCCAAAGAAGTCATCTTTCACTGCCATAATAAGTCAACAATGTCACTTGCACAAATTGCCTTCTTTTTCTTAGCAACTGGGTTCTCAGGCACCATTCCCTGCCTGGAGTACACCTCCATAATTATAACAATCTCAGCTCATGGCTTCTTTCTCTAAAAACACTTGGGAGTAAATGGGTAGATGAGGTGCTCTACCTACAAGAATAACAATTTCCAAAATAATGTACATCTCTTTTGCATAGAAGATAGATAAACAAGACCCAATACTTACCTCTCTTTGGCCTGGCCCAGCTAACTTCACAGGTTTCCATGCTGGTTCATCTTCTTTACGGAGTTGAGGATTTTTACTGTTTAAGGCTTCTTTGCTGACACTTTAAATAAAACAATGAAATTATGTTTCAGTTCTTAGCAGATATCCCATGGCAGCCAGGTTAAAGACTTCCAGCAAATTCCATAAATATTTTCAACTCTTAGTCAATTCCCAAGACACTAAGTCATATTTTTTCTGCTTAGCTAATTAGTAATAATAATCCTGAACCTACACATATGACTGAATTACTAGAGGCCTTGTCCTGATGATCAGTGGATATATTCCACTATGAATATGACATGTTTAAGAATACTAGTTGCAAAATAAAACTCAAGAAATAAAATAGATCTGATGATGAGGAAAGGAAAATACCAAATCCCTGAATCTTTAGAATACTAGTCTTACAAGGGGCCTTTCCATCTAATCATTATAAAATATCTGAAAAATAGCCATCCAGTGATGAGGATCTCATTATATTTTATACTGAGATAGTTCCTATTGGTTAGAAAACTCCTTCTGAAATCTCTCTTTGTAGCTTTCGTCCATTGTCTGAGTTTTAAAACTTGACGTTGAGGCCGGGCGCAGTGGCTCATGCCTGTAATCCCAGCAGTTTGGGAGGCCGAGGCAGGCGGACCACACGAGGTCAGGAGTTTGAGACCACCTTGGTCAACATGGCAAAACTCCGTCTCTACTAAAAATACAAAAATTAGCTGGGTGTGGTGGCAGGTGTCTGTAATCCAGGTACTTGGGAGGCTGAGGCAGGAGAATCACTTGAACCCAGGAGGCAGAGGTTGCAGTGAGCCAAGATCGTGCCACTGCATACTCTAGCCTGGGTGACAAGAGTGAAACTCTGTCTGAAAAAACCCAAAAAACAAACAAAAGGCTTCATGTTGAATAGAATAAAATCAACACTGGCAGGATAAGAAGTTGTTATCAAACTTAAAGTATGCTCCAGACCTGAATAACTGTATGATGGGACTATTTTATCATTAAATTCTGGGCAGAAATAGATGTCAGAATCTGATGAAAAAGTATATATAACCTGCACCTTCATGGCCCCAATTACCTATATTAACTCAGTACCATAAGTCTCAACAACATATTGATAATCTCTCCTGAGTAGAACTGTAAGCTCCTTGAGAATCATATCTTACTTCCAAGCATAGTGCTGGCTAAAATTAGACACTAACTTATGATACTAGTTGGTAGATTAATTGTTCTTCCATTGAAAATCTTTCATTTAATTTTTATAAAAGAAAGTCTAGGAGACGTAAGAAATTATCTTGCCCTTTGCCTCTATGCAATAAGCCTGAAACAAATACAAATAGATGCAATCTTTGCTAGCTAAAGTCTTCATAGAGATCTCCTTTTTTGTATGTAATATATGTAAGCCTAGCAATCCTAGCTTGTCCTAAAGGATTCTCTTCTGGCTATCAAAATCTCTCTTGCCACAGTTGAGCCTATTGGACCTTCATTTATCCTCCAAAGAGAAACAACGATTAATAGAATCTTGATAGTACTTGACCACTGCAATTAACCTTTTAACTCACAGCAATTTTTAGACTTCACCATGATTTTTTTTGTCCTCTCTCATTAAACAGTTAAAAACTACTGTGTACTCATCATGATCCACTACAGTACAAAAGGGACACTAACCTAGTATTACTTTCTAAACATAAAACCCAATGCTGATCCTTAATGATAAAATGCAAGTTCTAGTCCCAGCCATTTCTCTAAATATATGATCTTGAATAAGTCATTTCACCTCTATGGACCCCAGTGGCCTTATCTATAACATGTGGGAACTAGACTACATAATTCAGAAGCACCAACATTTATGATTCTACAAAATGTTCATGTTTCTAGTATTACTTATATAATAGAACGAGATTTAAAGTATGAATTTTATCTGTAGAGTTTAATATAATCTAATATACAATAATTTTAAAGATAAGTAGACCATTAATAAAGCAATAAAGGAAATCAGCTCAAATAGACCTACAACTATATATCTTGGAAAAATAAGATAAATAATTCACAAGGATGATTAATATTTTTTGGAATCTACAATTGTTTTCTACAAAACAAATTCATGGATCCCAACAGCTACTTTGTAAGTGTATACATCTATAATACAATGACACACATAAATGTCATAATTAACAGACATTAAAGAAGAATATTAAAGAGCTCACTCACAGATATGCATGGAATAGCATGTATCACTAAACTTAGAATGACAGGGAATATGTTTTTAACACTCTCTTATGGGTGCATATGCTACACAGAGCCTTTGAACTTCTGGGAAATCTGTAGGTTAATGGGTGGGAATAATACTTAAAGCTGTCACTAAGCTCAACTGCACTTTATAATACTATAGAAACTCTTGGTGGAAAAATAAATTATTGATCATCTCTTGCCCACATTTACAAAGGATTTCTCTAAAATCCATATGAAATTTTAAAGGGTGGAACATTTAAATGTTCGGGTTATACATAAAAGGAGAGAAAAGGTTATTTTCATTGTTAATGTAAAATTTATTTTCTTAGCCCAAAGATACAGCCCTCCTTTCATTTCAATGATGACATTCTCCCACAAGAACCAAAAGAATCTACCAAATACAAAGACAATACAAGTATCTTCAATTTTGTTAAATTTGTTTTTATGTACCACTTAAAAATGCTTTTCTCATGACTACCACTAGTTTAAAAAAGTATAAAGAAATTCTACTCAGGGCTGGGCATGGTGGCTCACACCTGTAATCCCAGCAATTTGGGGGGCAGAGGCGGGTGGATAACCTGAGGTCAGGAGTTTGAAATCAGCCTGACAATATGGTGAAACCCTGTCTCCACTAAAAATACAAAAATTAGCCAGGCATGGTGGCGTGCACCTGTAGTCCCAGCTACTCAGGAAGCTGAGACAGAAGAACTGCTTGAACCCAGGAGGCAGAGGTTGCAGTTAGCTGAGATCACACCATTGCACTCCAGCCTGGGTGACAGAGTGAGACTCCATCTATTAAAAAAAGAAAAAAGAAAAAAGAAATTCTATTTATATGAGGTATAAAAAGTAAACTCTTGGAAACAGAAAGTAGAATGATGGTTGGCAGGGGCTAGACGGAAAAGCAGAGTTGTTCAGTGGGTACAGAGTTTTATTTTACAGGAAGAAAAAGTTCTAGAGATCTTCTGCAAAACAAACAGTTAACACTACTGTAAAATGGTTAAGATGGGAAACTTTATGTTATGTGTTTATCACACACAAAGAAGTAAAATGAACGTAATGATGATCATAAATAGGCCGACAGGCCGGGCGCGGTGGCTCAAGCCTGTAATCCCAGCACTTTGGGAGGCCGAGATGGGCGGATCACAAGGTCAGGAGATCGAGACCATCCTGGCTAACCTGGTGAAACCCCATCTCTACTAAAAAAAAAAAAAATACAAAACACTAGCCGGGCGAGGTGGCGGGCGCCTGTAGTCCCAGCTACTTGGGAGGCTGAGGCAGGAGAATGGCGTGAACCTGGGAGGCGGAGCTTGCAGTGAGCTGAGATCCGGCCACTGCACTCCAGCCTGGGCGACAGAGCGAGACTCCGTCTCAAAAAAAAAAAAAAAAAAAAGGCCGACAGCTGTAACAAAACAAATTAACTTCTTTAAAGCCTGAAATGAACAACCTTGGACTACTAAACCTCACAGCTGTAAAGCAACCAGTATTCGGTGAATGCCTACTATGTTTACAGGCACTGTACTGCCCTTCACAAATGCTTCTCACTTAATGGGGAGGAACCCAGTATTTACTCTGCTATTCATGATTAGTCAAGGATTCCTAGGGTATAACTACAACCAACTTCAGGTGATGGTAGAGTCAACAATTAGGGAATATTTTTACAAAGAGAAAATGGCCAAGTTGAGCAGCCACTTTACACAAACAGTTGGAGCAGAACAAGGCACCTTAATAAAAATACTCCAAGAAGTTTCCCATTTATACATAAACATAAATAAACATTTCACTTACAGGGGAATATTCATATTGTCCTTTGGAGTGAAGAAAATGGGCCTAGTATTTCCCTCTCTGGAAAGGTCATCAGAATTGTGGCTATAAGACTGAGTTGGCATAAAGTGTTCTCTTTTTGAAATGCGATTATTAGAGAGTTTACAGGCTACATTCAGCTGGGCACCCATTCTGTCTGTCTTGGATAATTCTTTAACAGTACTAGATTGGCATGGACTTCCTTTTCTTTCAAAGAACACGGTGACAGGTCTATCCTTTGGGAGTAAGCGAGCAGAGGAGCTGTCTTTCTGGGCAAGAGCTGCATCTTTTACTGATAGGGACCCCAGTACGTTAAGTTCTCCCTTATTTGAGGTATTTAAGCTGAGGAGAGAGGATGGCCTCTCTACTCTCTGCTTTGACTGATAGGAAGATGGTGCCACCAAACACTCTCCAATTCTTGGCTTTTCAATTGTCTTGAACGCTTTGCGCTCCTTCTCTAAAATATCGGTTTGCTGGCGAATCTGTTCCATCATCTCTTTTTCATTCTGTTGCTGCAACTGCTTTTGCCTTTCTTCCTTCTCAGTGTTTAGCTTTTCTAACTTCTTAAGCATAGGATTAGAAGACTCTGTATTCAAAGGAGGAACAATTTGATCTTCTCCTGAGCAGTGATACCTTCTAGTTTCCCTGTTGATATCCAAAGTAAGAGCTTCCCCTGGTGTGTCTTCATTTTCCAATAGTTTGTTTCTTTGGATACTTGTGTCTAGTTGGGAATTTGTTTTCTGTGGGTCTTGTTGGGGGATATAAAAAAAAGTAGGCAGACTATTTGAAATGAAGGAGTCTTTCAGCTGTGGTTTACAGGTAATAGACTCAGAACTGCAGACCACCTTTTCCTTCATAGTTCCATCCTTCAAATGCTCTGCATAGCTAGTCTCATTTGAGGCACTGAGGGCATTGTCCCGTGAATCAAATTTTGGACTGCTGGATATCTTAGGTGATGGAAACAGCAAGTCTCCTTCATCTGAAATTACAGATTCTAGTTTGCTCTTTTGGCTTTCCTCAGAGCTCAGAAGTTCCAAGCTTCCTTGAGAGCTCTCACTATCAGGTGTACCCCGTGGAGACTGAAGGCCTTCAGGCACCAATTCTGTAGACCATCTGCGATCCTCTGAAGGAGAAACACCACCAAGAGAACGAACTTTCAGCAATTCTAAGCTAAATATAGCTTGCTCTAGTTCTCTCATTCTCCTACTTTCTCTTTTAGCCCGGCCTACTTTTTTCTGATGGAGATCCTCCAAGGATCTGGGTCTCTCTCTTACAAGCACATCTTCCTGCAAGTCCACACCACTCGGGCTTTGGGCTCTCTCCTGCTGCTTGTTTGGTGACTTCTTCAAGCAGTCCACCGAACTTTCATGGCTAATTCGATTACTCTCTGTTACAGATTTACATTCCTCTATGGCTTTTATTCTGTTGTCAAAAGAACAATCCTCCCATTCTGAAGGGTCTGAACCCTGAATTTCCAGAGATCCATATCCTTTAATATTCACCAATCCAAGTTCTGGTTTTGTTTCTCTTAGCCTTTGTTCTTTTAAAGCTTTAAATCTATATAAAAACAGACAAAATGGGTTACAGAAATATCTTAGTTACCACTGAAGAGAACATACTTCCTGAGAATTTAAGAAAAAATGCAGTTATAAAATCTTTTTACAATACCTAAGTACTTCTTAAATTAACTTGAATGCACATTTTACAATTTTCCTATTTCCATGAGTCAGATGATATTTCATTAAGTGTATAACTTCTACCTGGGCATTTCAGTCAAAATGTAAACTAATTCAGAAATAAAGCTCTCACTTTAATATTAGCTTTATTTTAAAGTAAACCTCAAACTAAAGTGAAATTTTAATTTAAGTGTGAAATTACAGTTTCTGAAAGTAAAAACAGTTGAATATTGCCAATTTTGTAAGATTCGGCCTAATGTAAAAGTTAATTCTTAGCAGTTATGATCACAGACCATGTAGATTTTCGATCCAATTTAATTCAATAAAACCTTATTTAACTTCCATTATAGACAATACAATGTGGGTTAAAATCAGTAAAAGTATCACAGTATAGTGGAAAAGAAATTGTATACAACCAATTCTAATACAAATTAGATAAGTGTTAACGCAGAGGTATAAACAAAGCACTTGGGATGAAAGAAAAAAAGCAAGTATTATAGTATAGTGTAGAGATTACCTTTGTCTTGCTCTGAATCCTCTACATGTTGATTGCAAAAGGATAATTTTTTTCCTTTGTTCTTGGTACCTTTTACTTTCCCTGTAGGCTTTCCATCTTGCTTGTATGCAAATAGCAGCCATGTGCCTGCGCCTATAGTGATCTCTCCATTTCTGCTGGATAACGATGGCTGCAGCCCGTAGCTCCAAGTACCGCTGCCTCTCTAAGTGAGCACGCCAGGAAGCTTGGAGAAGAGCAGCTGCACTAGCCATAACAAAAGCATCCTTCTGCACAGCTGCATCTCTGACTTGCTTCCGATTTAGGTAATTCCTCCAGAATCTCTGTGGGGAAGACAAAATAACAGAAACTGGTTGTCATATCTTACATTGCATTTTCACAAGAAAAAAAGAGAATAAATTTCTTATGTCATAATTACAGGTTAAGTGCCTATGCAGCTAAATTCTTGGTGATTAAAAATAAGTTTTCTGGCCAGGCGCGGTGGCTCACGTCTGTAATCCCAGCACTTCTGGAGGCCAAGGCAGGCGGATCATGAGGTCAGGAGATCGAAACCATCCTGGCTAACAGTGAAACTAAAATACATCTCTACTAAAAATACCATCTCTACTAAAAATACAAAAAAAAAAAAATTAGCTGGGCGTGGTGGTGGGCGCCTGTAGCCCCAGCTACTGAAGAGGCTGAGGCAGGAGAATGGCATGAACCTGGGAGGTGGAGCTTGCAGTGAGCCGAGTTCACGCCACTCCACTCCAGCCTGGGCGACAGAGAGAGTCTCTCTCTCAAAAAAATAAAAAATAAAAAAATTAGTTTTCTACAAAAGCAGAAAGTGCAACTGAAAAAGATAAATAGAAAAAAGTTTTCTCTTCCAGATATGTTTGGCTAAAACAGCTATTTTAAATACTATAACCTTGATGGAGTTAATTACAGAACTTAATTTAAAGTTTTTGGATGATTCATGTCCTTCAAATTATTAATAATTTTAACATATTATATTCTTTTGTTACAATTTGTCCAAATAACACTAATGGGTTTAAGGTAATCCTGACACACATTCCAAAGATGAAGATACTAAAGATTTTCTTGCACAAATGGAAAAGATATTATGGAAATGATATAAATCAATGAGGGTATTAATAAAACAAATAAATGTAAAAAAAAGGTACCTATCATCCAAAATGAGTGTCTAAAACCAACAGTATATATAAACTCTCAAACATCACTCCAAAACTGTTAAATAAAAACAACTATGTCAACAAATATTAGGTAACTCCTTAGCCCCTACTCAGACCTCACAAGACATTATAACTAAAAATTCAATTTAATTTAAATTCAATGGAATCAATATTTATTAATAGTCTATTATATGCCAGATAATCTGTTGGGTGTTATGAGCACTTCAAAAGTGGGTATAACATATTCTCATTTCTAAAGTTTACATTATTATTGAAAATGTTTTACAGTAAAAAGGTTCTGGTTACTAAACAAAGGCCAAATAAATTAGTCAATCTCATGCAAAGAATCCTTTGCTTCTCACCTGGATAATAACAGATGCTTGTCTCAGATGGAGGAAATGCTGCCTACACAGCAAGACCCTGAACCATCGCTGCAACAATATGATTCTGCGGAGCACCTCTTGGTGAAGCAGATCTTGTAAGTGCTGTCGTTCCTGCTCCTTTAGAAAGACCTACCAAAAGGAAGATAAGGAATGCAGCGAAAGAAGAAATGAGAAATTTATTTCATGAATCATCCTTTCTGTGATAAGCTTTTAGAGAAGAACAAACACAGTGGCAGGCATGTAAATGAAGTACTGATAAATACTATCCAAAGTAGTCATTCTCAAATTGAAATGGAGACAGTAGAATAAGGAAGGTGAGCTGGGTGTGGTACTACATGCCTATACTCCTAGCTACTCAGAAGGCTGAAACAGGAATGTTGCTTAAGCCCAGGAGTTCAAGTTCTATGGCAAAATAGAGAGATCCGGTCTCAAAAAAAAAAAAAAAAAAAAAAAAAGACAGAAAAAAAGGAAGGTAAGCAAGGGAGGAAGGGAGAGAGAAATGACAAGGTCAGCAAGAGTATCAAAATTCCAGCACCAGAGATTATGCTACATTACTCCATTGGGGAAACCACTGCTATAAGTAAATGTATTACTGGTAATAAATCATATTTTTCAAAGGTGTTACGGTGGGGAAAAAAGTTGAAAACCACAGATCTTGAAGCTTGAATCATATCATGAATAAACCAATGATAACAGTCTTTTTGAAATCCAGAGTGCATTAAGCTTCTCACTGTCCAAAGTTATTAATAAGTTTACTTTATTTACTCCTTCATTCCACTAATGTTTAGGGCTTGGGAGGCTGCAAAGGTGAAGGAGACATATCCCTTTAGAAACAGGAATTATACCTCTCATTTGAGAGCAGGTAGATATTATATACCCAAAGAGGAAGATGGTAAACTAATAAGGGCCAGAGACAAAAGATCCCACCTGAGTAACACAAACAGTTGAAAATAATAATAAAGGCATGCACAGGAGACAATGGGACAATTAATCTCCATAAAAAAGGATACTAAGTAATGTGAAGCCACAATATGAAGGTTCTCAAAAAGAGAAAGATGTTTGTATTTAATGAGGAGGTTATGAGGGGGTTATTATCAAGCAGGAGGCAGACATAAAGAACTAAGTATATTAAGATAACAATTTTAAAATTATGAGTAGAATAAATTAAATGGAATGACAAATACACTAGAATCAGATAAGTAAGCTGTTCACTGTATAAGCAATGTAGATGAGAAGAGATAAGGAATAAAAATAAAATGGAAGCAGTAGTAATGGAGAAACAGAAAGTGATGTGAGAATTTCTTTGTAAAAGGAAAAAAAATCCCTAAAACTTTGTGAAAGGATTAAAGCGAATGGTATGCTAAAGACAATTATGGTTTCTAGACTGAGAAACTGGAAAAGGGATGACAGAGAAAGAAAGTATTTGATAAATTTAAGACCAGATGAATCTCAAATTCATCTTGGGCAAGCTGACTTGGAGATTACAGTAGAACATCTATGGAGAGATGATTTTTAGGCAGTTAAAATTACAACTACAGCACTGGCCAGAGCTCTGTGATTAATACTGACTATATAATTAAATAAAAACCTGGGTCTAAGCAATTGTCTTTTGATATCTGATTCACTATCTTTTTAATAAACAATCTCATATGCAAAAATTATTATTTTTTAAATAAATGCACTCAATTTTGACAAGAGCTATACAGATTATATTTACCATGGTTTTTCCAACTTGATAATTATCTGGATTAAGATTTATTTTCCTGAAGAAATCCTGAATGTTAAATTTGGATGGAATAATATTTCGGGGAAGAAGTACATGGAAGTGGCTCACAAAATCCTGAAAAATAATAAAAAAAATTGTAAAATCAGAAAGTAATGTATATAAACAAGACCTTAAACTAATTATCATTTTATTAATCTTTTCCTCTTTCTTTTAAACAGGGTGAAACCAAGAAGTGCATGTTAATTTAAGATATAATAAAAGGTTAATTTGAAAAACATTAGGAGGCGGAGAAAGATATTGGGTTCTACATATCATATCATCAAAAGGGAATGAGAGGAAAAAAAAAAAGGGCAGAGGCTAATTATCCCTTTTGAGGAAGCTTTATAAAAGACCAAAGAAAAAGTTATTTAACAAGCACCTAAAATTTCTATCAGGGAAAAAAAAAGCAAACGTGGCAGGATAACTGAGAATGAGGCTTTCCGTCCCAGTAACAGCAAAGACTTGCTCAGTTGCTGAACAGCTTCAATACAATTTCCATACCCACAGCAGTAATTGCTGATAAGAGTAGCTGTGAGCCTTCTTGGCAGCTTACTATGAAAGAAAATCCTGCTAAGAAAACTTTAGGAAAAACCAAATGGAATCTTTTCACTAGATAGTTCTCATTGAAACATTTCAGTTACTGGAGAGGTCAGTGCAAAGAATTGTTATATCAGGAGTAAACTTAGTATTAGCAAACATTCTGATCAAATGAGAATAACCAACTACCGGATTCTATTACAATAATCTTAATGAGATTGCTGCCATTCAGTCAAAGTAAATACTGTCTATCCCTTTTCAATTCCGTATACAAAACGTGAAATGGAAAGGAAGAATTAAGAGAAATAAGTAAGCCCTAAAGAAATAATAAGCAAGATATGTGGGAATCATTTACTTGATGTGTCTAAATATGTAAATATCACTATAAAAACAGAACCTGGAAAGAATATTTGGAGCTGTATCCTGATTGGCGAATTCGAACTGTTTCCAGCATTCCAGTGTATCGAAGCTGTCTAAGTACCAAGGCATCATTGAACCTTAAGGGCAGCTAAAGCAAATGGAAAAAAGATTAACCCAGAACAGTAGATCTCCAAATTATCTGTTTATAAGCATGGCTAAGTGTTAAGTATCTAGAGATTGATTGGAGGTTGTCTGGTTAAGATATATAACAACTAAGCTGATAGGTAAGGCAAGCTCACCTCTCAGCTGGTAGCTTCAGAGAAGTTCTGACTGCCCAACCCTAGGGAAAAGAGAGAAACCAAGCTTCCAGGCTTCTCTGGTTGTGAAGAGAGAGGACCTTAAAAGCTCAAAAAGAATGTAATCACCCCCAGAGGCCACATAGTCCAATCACTACAAAATCTGTAACAAGATAACCTACAACTGGGTGTGGTGGCTCACACCTGTAATCCCAGCACTTTGGGAGGCCAAGGTCACTTGAGGTCAGGAGTTCAAGACCAGCCTGGCCAACGTGGCAAATCCCTGTCTCTACTAAAAATACAAAAATTAGCTGGGTGTGGTAGTGCACACCGGTAGTCCCAGTTACCTGGGAGGCTGAGACAGGAGAATTGCTTGAAACCCAAGGTGGAGATTGCAGTGAGGTGAGATCATGCCATTGCACTCCAGCCTGGGCGATAGAATGAGACTCTGTCTCAAAACAAAAAAAAAAAGAAAAAAGAAAACTCTTTTCTGACAGGACTTCAAGATGTATTTGCTTCTCAAATTCTGGGTGATGCTAAATCAAATCCATATAAACACCTTACAAGCAGGTAAATATGGAAAAATCCATTGAAAGTATTTATAAAACACTATTTTCCTTATAAATATTATAGTTAGTGCTTCCCCTCCACTTATTCTGCTTAAAAGTATTTAAAGCTCAGTTTGAAGTAAGCTGAGATATGTGCTCTCATTTATAGGACATTTTTACCTTTTCAGCGTTAGAGCGGATGCATTTTACAAAATATGGTTCTGCTTGACCAAGTGTTTCCATTAGCTTGCTTAATGATGTCTGCAACAGAAAGCAATATAATTATCATACTCTCCCATTCCAAACTATTAACAAGTAACATATAAATGTAATCAATATGCTGGCAAAACATTCAAAAAGGAGAGGCACACATAGCAAAAGGTTTGTTTTTGAAAAGCACATTGTGTATATTCTTATACTGGTTAAATTATGGATAATTAAGGATAAGGATGGTAGTTTAGTATTAAAGCAGATAGCCTGGAAATAGTAAATATCGCAGATGTATTTCAGAATAATCAAATGTAGAACTTTTTTTCACTTTTCTTCACATTTCATGAAATAATTTTATTCAAACTCATGTATCCTACAACTTTTAAAATGATTCAGGAGGGTATCCAGTAAGGTAGTACTCCCTTGCTTTTTGTCTACAGAGTATGTAATGATACCCCTTTTTTTAATTCCTGATAATGATAATTTGTACGTTCTCTCTTTCTTCCTGATTAGTGGCTAGAAGTTTATCAACTTTTTGATTTGCTCAGCCCAGGCTTGGTGGCTCACGCCTATAATCCCAGCACTTTGGAAGGCCGAGGCGGGCGGACCACCTGAGGTCAGGAGTTTGAGACCAGCCTGGCCAACATGGTGAAACCCCGTCTCTACTAAAAGATATACAAAAATTAGCCAGGCATGGTGGTGCCTGGCTGAGGCACGAGAATTACTTAAACCTGGGGGGTGTGGGTAAGTAAGGGCAGTAAGCCAAGATGGTGCCACTGCACTCCAGCCTAGGCAACAAAGTAAGACTCTCTCAAAAAAAAAAAAAATTTTTTTTTTGATCTGCTTAAAGAACCAGCTTTTGGTGTCAGTGTTTTTTTGTTTTTTTTTTTTTTTTGTCTATTTTTCTGTTTTTCATTTCATTGAATTCTGCTGTTATCTTTATTATTTACTTCTCTCTGCTTGCACTGGGTTTCATATATTCTTTTTATAGTCTATAAGGTAGAAATTTAGATTATTGAATTGAGACACTTCTCCTTTTTCAATAAAAGTATTTAGTGCTATAAATTAACCTTGGAGCACTGCTTTAGCTGCATTGCACAAATTTTGATATTTCATTTTATTTAAAATATTTAAAAATTTTCCTTCCTCTAAAAAATGTATTATTTAGAAGTCTGTTTTATATATTCTAAATATTTGGGGATTGATATTTTTCTTTGATTTCTGGTTTAATTCTATTACAAATACAACATTTTGTATGATTTTAACTCAAATTTATTAAGGTTTTATGGCCTAGTTTATGATCTACCTTGGCAAGTATTTCATGGGCACTTAAAATGAATGTATATTCTGCAATTCTTGGCTAGGCTGTTCTATAAATTTCAGTTAGGTCAAGTAGGTTTATCATTCTATTCAAGTCTTCCATGTCCTTCCTAATTGTCTACTTACCCTATCAATTACCAAGAGGTATGCTGAAGTTTCCAAGCATAATTGCAGATCTGTCCATTTTTCTTTTAATTCTATCAGTTTTTGGTTCAGATATTTGGGAGCTCCGTTATTAGATGAATACACATGTAAGACTTTGTAAATTGCACCTTTTATCATTATGAAATTATCTCCCTTTATCCTTGGTAGTTTTCTCTGTTCTGAAGTCTACTTTGTCTGACTCTACTATAGTCACTATAGCTTTCTTTTGGTTTTTGTTTGCATGGTTTATTTTTTTCATTTTTTAACCCTTTAGTATCATTGTATTTAAACAGGTTTCTTGTAGATAACACACAGTTAGGTCTTATTTTATCCAATCAGATAATATCCATTTCTTAATTGGACTGTTTAGAGCATTTACATTGTTAATAATTAGTATGGCTGGATTTAGGGCTACCAGTTTTATTACTGGCCTTCTGTTTGTCCTCTCTCATTTGTTCCTCCCTTCCTCCTCTTACTCCCTGCCTGTTTAAAATAGACTTTTGGAGCAGTTTTAGGTTCACAGCAAAAATAAGCAGAACATACAGAGAATTCCCACATGCCCCTTTACCCTCACATGCACAATTTCCCCTATAATTAACATCTTGCATTACTGTGTTATATGTGATGAACCAATACTGACACGATTATTAACTATAGTCCATAATATGCATTAGGGTTCACTCTTTATGTTGCACATTCTATGGGTTTAAACAAATATATAGACATTTATTCACCATTGCATTATCATATAGATTAATCTGACTAAAGTCCTCTATGCTCTGCCTACTCATCCTCCCCCAACTAGATCCTGGCAACTACTGATCTTTTTTACCGTCTCCATAGTTTTGCTTTTTCCAGAATGTCATATATTTGGAATCTTATGGTATGTAACCTTTCCATATTGGCTTCCTCTACTCAGTAATATGCATTTAAGATTCCTCTAAGCCTTTTCATGGCTTGAAAGCTCATTTCTTTTTAGTGTTGAATAATACTCCATTGTCTGAATGTACCATAGTTTGTTAATCCATTCACCTACTGCAGGACGTCTTGACTGTTTCCAAGTTTTACCAATTATGAATAAGGCTGCTATGAATATCCGTGTACAGGTTATTGTGTGGACATAAGTTTTCAGTTCATTTAGGTAAATACCAAGAAGTTGTTACCGCTGGATCATATGGTAAAAATACAGTTTTATAAGAAACTGTCAAACTGTTTTCCAAAGTGGCTGCACCATTTGGCATTCCCACCAGCAATGAATGAGTGTTCCTGTTGCTCCACATTCTCACCAGCATTTGGTGTTCTCATTGCTTTGGACTTTTGCCATTCCGATAGCTGTGCTGTGGTATCTCATTTTTGTTTTAATTTGCAATTCCCTAGTAACATATAATGTGGAACATCTTTTCATATGCTTATTTGCCATCTGTGTACTTTCTTTAGTGAGGTGCCCCTCCCCTCTGTTCAATATACTCAATATTCCATATTAATTTATCTACTTTTCAGCTATCTTTGTACTGCATTTTAGTAGCTGCTCTAGGGATTACAATATACAAACCTAACTTGTCACAGTCTACTTAGGAGTCGACATTTCACAAGTTCAAGTAAAACAAAGAAGTCTTAGAACTATATATAGACCTCTGTTACTGTTGTGAAATTTATTACATCAACATACAAATTTTTAAACTTTTCAGTGTTCATTATTCTTGCAAATGCTATTGTAGTGTAATACACATAGGGCTTGGCACCGTGTCACATGCCTGTAGCATCTACTTGTGAAGCTGAGGAGGGAGGATAGCTTAAGCCCAGAAGTCGGAGTACAGCCTGGGCATTTTATGAGACGCTGTCTCAAAATAATGACAATAATAATACACATAAAATATTAAAATCATAAGTGTAGATTATGACTTTTTACAAAAGGAAGATATTCTTGTAACTAGAGCCCAAATTAAACGTGTGTGTGTGTGTGTGTGTGTGTGTGTGTGTGTATATGTATAAAATCAGAATCTCAGAAGCCCTTTGGGCCCCATCCCATTTAATTTAGCAAGGTCACTGTACATAAGCTATGTACTCATATTTCCACACCCCAACCAAGGGTAATTATTATTCTTACTTTTAAGATGATAAGTTAGTTTAACCTACTATTAAAGTTCATATGAATGGAAAAATAAACCATGTACTATTTTGTATTTGTTGCATACAATTATATTCTGTAAATTTTCAGGGCTGTATATTAGTGATCCATTATTTGGCATTACTACCATTAAACTATCCATTAAGAGATGAGTATTTTGTTGTTTCCAGTTTATTATGAAAAATTTTGCTATGAACATACTTGTCTTTTAATTTTTTTTTTTTTTTTTTTTTGAGATGGAGTCTCGCTCAGTTGCCCAGGCTGGAGTGCAGGGGCGTGATCTTGGCTCACTGCAAGCTCCGCCTCCCGGGTTCACGCCATTCTCCTGCCTCAGCCTCCCGAGTAGCTGGGACTACAGGCGCCTGCCGCCACGCCCGGCTAATTTTTTGCATTTTTAGTAGAGACGGGGTTTCACCGTGTAAGCCAGGATGGTCTCGATTTCCTGACCTCGTGATCCGCCCGCCTCGGCCTCCCAAAGTGCTGGGATTACAGGTGTGAGCCACCGCGCCCGGCCATTAACTGTTTTCCAATATGCTTGTATCAATCTACATTTTAACAGTACCATATAGGAGTTCTGAACGCTCCCCAATCTTGCCAACATGTTGTATAATCAGTTTATTTCAGCCATGTTGGCGAGTATGTAACAGCATTGCTTTGTGGTATTAATTGGCATTTCCCTCATGAATCATAATATTGAACAGGTTTTACATAGGTGTATTGGCCTTCTGGATATGTTTTATAAATTGCCTATTTGAGACTTTTGTCCATTTGTCTATTAGGTTTTCTTCCTTTTAATAGTTCCTTCATATACTACATATATGAGTCCTTTTTTAGTCTTGCTCTTTTTCTTCTTTTAATGGTGACTTTTTTGGTTTAAACAGTTTTATTGAAATAAAATCTACATACTATTAAAATATATACATTGTAGTTCACAAATCAATGAGTTTTAGTAAATTTACACAGTTATGCCACTATCACTACAGTCCAGTTTCAGAACTCCTCTATCACCCCCAAAAAACTCCTTTCTGCCCATCTGCAGTCAATAACCACTTGAGTCACAGCCCCAGGGAACTACCAATCTGCTTCCTGCTGCTATAAACTATCTTTTAAAAAAATATAATCTTTTTTAGATGGCTTTTCCTCTTATTATAAAAGTAATATGTAGCTATTCTAGAAAACTTAATATACACATATATGTCCAGAGAATATCAGCTTGGGTTTAATTTGACTAATGACTAAATTCTTAGAGATATAAATTAAAAGCTGGTTAATTTCTTCAAACCAATCAGCCTTTTCCAAGGGAATTCACACTTTTACAAAAAAACAAGCTTAATGTATCCTACATCTTCCTTATACCCACAGTTAGAAAGACTCCTAGGAAGAGAAAAATTTAGTTTCCCCTACTTGAAGCAAAGAGTATGTTGACTGTTGATACAATGGCAGATATATTTCCTAGCAACCTGTGGATCCCTAGGCAGCTGAGTATGGAGAGGAGCAGCAGCTTTATCAGTAAGTTTTAGTAGCTATAACAAGCAACAACGTGTATGACCGATTATATTAGGAGAAAGCCACACAACTTCTTTTAAAAAACTACTAAGTAGAGACATAGTGCTATGAAGTGACCAGACTTTGACATACAGGTCCATGTATAAACACTGCACAGTTCTTTGCTTTATGATCAAGTTATAGCATCCCAGTCATAACTTAAGGCTTTACCTACTTTGAAAGTTTGGTGGTCAAAGGGACTGACTCATTAAAATCTAACATTAGCCTGCAGAAGACAAACTCTCAAGAGTGAATGTTTTAGAGTATAGTGAAGGTGGTAATTTACCAAAAGGCTGAAATAATACAGAAAATATACATTACAGTCTACCATATTGTTACTTATTTCTATTTATCAGTCTGAATTTTCTTTTTCCTTTTTTTATCGAGTATATTTTATGGTTCCATTTTAGTTCTGCTACTACCTTACTAACTGTTAACTCTTTTTTAAAGGATTTTTCTAGGATTTGCACCTTTATCACAGTCTACCTTCAAATAACACGATACCATGTTCTGTATAGTGTAAAAGCTTAACAACAGTATATTTCCACTTAGTACCACTTTACGTGTTTTGGGATACTTTTATTATACATTTTATTTCTACCCCACAATATACTATTATTTTTGTTTTCTATAGCCAATTATTTTAAAAAGAGAAAAGGATTTTTTTTTTTCCTTCTTTCTTTCTTGAGACAGAGTCTTGCTCTGTTGCCTAGACTGGAGTGCAGTGGTGCAATCTCAGCTCACTGCAACCTCCACCTCCCGAGTTCAAGTGATTTTCATGTCCCAGTCTCCTGAGTAGCTGGGCTTACAGGCACACACCACCAAGCCCAGCTAATTTTTGTATTTTTAGTACAGACGGGGTTTCGCCATGTTGGCCAGGCTGGTCTTGAACTCCTGACCTTGGGTGATCCGCCCACCTCAGCCTCCCAAAGTGCTGGGATTACAGGTTTGAGCCACCACGTCTGTCCAAGAAAATGTGTTTTTAAAATATTAGCCTACATTTCTATCATTCTGGCACTATTCATGTTTTGTGTAAACTCAAATTTCCATGTGGTTTTCCCATCATTTTTCTTTCATATTTAACATTTCTGATATTATAGATCTGCTGGTAATAAATTATCTCAGCTTTTTTGGTCTGAAAATGTCTCTACTTAACCTTTCACCATGCATAGAATTCTAGGGTGACTTTTCTTCTCTTTTTGGTCTTTTAAAGATATCACTTTCTTGTCTCATGGCTTTGATAGTTTCTGATGATCTTCACTTTGTTACACAAAATGTCTCTTTTCTCCCTCTGGCTAAGTTTAAGATGCTCTCTTTTTAACTGGTTTTAGCAATTTGATATAATGTGCCTTGGTGTGTTTTTGTTTGCTCTGATTGTGGTTTACTGAGATTCTTTGATCTCTGCAGTTTTTTTTTTTTTCCCCCATCAAATCAGAAAATATTTTGGTCATTATTTCTTCAAATATGTTTTTCTGTGCCCTCCTCCCTTTCCTCTCCTGAGATTCCAATTACACCTATGTTAGACTGCATCATATTGCTTCATAAGTTATTGCTATTTTCGTTTTTTTACATCTTTGTTGCTTTCTCTGGGCTTTAATAAACTATGACTTCAAATTTACTACTTCTGAACTAACAGATGTTAATCCAATTTAGTTTCTTTTTTATTGTCAAATATTACATATTTAATCTCTAAAAGTTTTATTTTAGTCTTTTTCATATCTTCATTTTTTTCTTTTTCATAAAACAAATGGCCCTTATTGGTTCCAACAGGCAGTGAAAGAAAGGAGAGGACAGAACAACTCTATCTCCTGAGGAAGCATCCAGAGACTCTGTCATCACCTTCCAAAATAAAGAATCTATTTTGTTCTCATCATATTCATATTTTTTGTTATATCTTTGGGCATATTTAAAAGATACATTATAGCTAATTTGACATTCTTACTATTTACATCGTCTTCATCATTTTAAAGTCTGTCTCTAAATACTGACTTCCCCCCCCCCCTTGTTATGGGTTATTTTTTTCCTGACTCTTTCTCTGCCTTGTAATTTCTCATTGGATGTTAGACACTGTGTTTTACATTGTTGGATTTTATTGTATTCCTTTAAAGAGTGACAAACATTCTTCTTAACATGTAGTTAAGTTACTTAGGATCAGTCTGATTCTTTTAAAACTTGATTTTTAGTTTTGTGAGAGCAGGGCCAGAGCAGTCTTTACATTAGGACTATGTTGGTCCCATTGCTAAAACAATGTCTTTCTGAGGATTCTACCTAATGCCTCATGTAATAAAAGGTCGTTTCACTCTGGCTGATGAGAACAGAACTACTCCTCTAATCCTGTATAAATACCAGAAATTGTTAGGTCTACAGGATTCAGGTGATTAGAATAATCATTCTTTCCCCGATCTCATGGAATTTTAACCCATATATGCAGAGATCGGTAGTCAGTCACAGAGACTCAAGGAGACCCCTCAGCAGTCTAGCTCTTTCTCTTCATACAATGTCCTTCTCCTCTTTACTCTGCCTCACAAATTCTAGTTGCCTCTACCTTTCTATCTCCATCTCTTCAGTTAGCAAGACCACTGGCATTTGTTTGGGTTTCTTCTTCCTGAGCTGTAGCAAATTATCTTTAGGTGTTAATCTGGGGCTTTCCTCATTTATTTCCCCTATTCTCACAGATTGGAACCCCGTAATGCTTACTGTCTAATATCTGAAAATATCTGACTCATAATATCTTTTGTCCAATTTCTGGTTGTTTATAGCAGAAGGGCAATTTCTGTAACAGTTAATCCTTTGTGAGTTCTATGATATCATTTTCATGAAAATAAGCATTCAAGGAAGGGCACAGAGTCAAAGACGGCTGGGTGCCATCCATTTTGATCACCTGCAATTTCCTCATCTGCTACTTGGTTTCCTCATCTTTATAATAAATATAATAGTAATTATCCTAGAACAATTGGAGAAAAACTTAGACAACACCTATTAGAAAATGCGTATGTGTAAATTTTTGGCAAAGGGCCTGGAAAACATACTATACATTGGTCATTATCTATGGATGGTAGACGACTTTCACTTGTTTTTGCTCATCTATATTTTCCAAATAATCAAAAATTAACTCATTACTTTTTTAATAACTTAATGGTCTATTAGAAATATTAAAGAGGACTCTTTTTCTAAAAATTAAATATAATTCATGAATATAAATTAAGAATATGTAAATTTGGAAGGATTTTAAAAGACACAATAGGATTGTGATTATAACTAAGTTTTTATTGTACTAGCTATATGGTATTCTTCAAATTAAAGAATGATTTCGGTATACATGGCATCTGTAAAAGATCCAAGGTAACAAAACAAAGGACACTTAACAGCTTAATAATTCTACCTTTCATAATCGTGAGATTAATGTTCCCTTTTCAGACATTGAGCTCACCAAATTACCTTTTGATCAGAATTTGGCTTCCCATGTGGATTTGCTAATCAGGGAGAAATATGCTAATAAACTAACCATTGTATTAAGTCTGCTTATGACTCATATTTATGTTGTATATTAATAAACATATCACTCAACATGATTTTTTTTCTATAACCCATTAATCTTTGCATTTCTAATCTACAAAGTCTGGATTGTGAGGACAGCAGCAAGGTAAAGACAGACGTCCCTAAGCACTATCTTCTCATTCTTCCCAACCAAATGCCATTAACCCCTATGATTATTAAGAAGGATTTTTAAAATTCATGGCAGTGATTTCATTATACTCAATTCCCTTTCCTTTAAGCTTATTTGCACATATGAGTTATACGGCTCCTTGATTTTGCTTTTTTTCTTTTCTTTTTTTTTTTTTTTAAAGAGAAAGCATGTGACCAAACAGCCTTCACAGATTCAAATTTTCCTTTAGGCCTATGGTGAGAATTATCTAAAATAAAATGACATTTCTAGCCCACAATTTGAAGAACTGTGCCTATAAATCACATAATGATACATTAGTAGATAATTTATGTTCAAACATCCTAGCTGTAAAAGAAGCATTTTAAAAAGTGTTAACATATACAGATACATCTATCACAAATAAGGAAATTTTTATTCAACAGTGAGCATTGCTTCTGTGATATAAACATGAAATAGAGTAAAATTATGCAAAGCATTGTTATCTACCAGATATTTTGCTTATTTTCATAAATATCTACCAAATGAAAAGATCTTAGGAGATAGATGATTTGAGAAGAATGCAAGAGGCAATTTAAAAAGGAATCTGAAAACAATTATTCTGGAAGAAATTTGGTTAACTATGATCATATTTATTCCTAAAAGCCCCCCAAAAAAGAACTGGATTTCTATGTAGACAAAAGTAAAATAAATACACAGAAAAAAGCCCTTCAGCCTCATTTAGTTAACTATCAATGGTAGCAGCATGAGGTTTAAGCAGGGAAAAAAAAACATACATCATTAGGCTAACAGTGACATTATCTAAGCAGCAGGGTTTAAAGGCAGATTTTCTGCTTTCTCCTCACAATGAAAATAACAAATATTGAGATAGCCATTATCCAGACATATGTGGATGAAAAACAAACGCATCTGACTTTTTTTTTTCATCTTTGGTTCTTCTTTCCAAAATGATCAGTAATATATGGCTTTTTAGTCACATAAATTAAAATCCTATTCGAGTAACCTGCAGATCACTTTAACCTTTCAATGACAATCTGAAAGATACAGATTCTTATTTGTTTTAAGCAAAACAGGAAATAACCTGAAACTGGGCACTGATGCTGGGAGGTTTTTTCTTCTTGTGTAAATGAAGAAGAGACTTGGTAATGCGATCTTGTAGTGTCAGTCTTGTCAGGTGCTTTAAAGAATTTACTTCTAGCAAGTGCTGAAAGAAGAGAAAAAATAAATTGCTCACATATATTAATCTAACAATAAGCCAAAATTCTCAGCCAGTTTTCATCAGTTCCTATCTATATGATCATTTCCCATCTTAAATGACTGTGATGAATATGAAAGACTGATATCCAACATTCATTCTATTCTCTAAAAAGAAAAGTACACTTCACAAACTCTCTTGCATAGAGTTCTGGATATCGTTTAAGTTTACCAGTAAAAGGCCCACATGTGAAACTGGGAAGGTGTAACTGAGGAAGAGGCTCTGGCTACTAGTTCTGCTTCTGCTAGCAAAAATGCACATACTTTATGTACCTTTTTTCTGTAGTTCCAGCCTCCAGACACTAGTTTTGTGAATGCTCAGAGGCAGAGTGCAGAACATTTGTGTTGTCATCACAACTATACTAAATGCAGCTTAGCTCTGGAGCAAATAGTTGTAGTTGTTTCTGCCAGATGGCTAAATTACACCACAGGCAGTATATACCTGCAAGTAGCAGCTGCACTGACAGCTTCCTGATTTCCTAGCTTTCTAATTACATCTAGCGACATTCCTGCAAATGTTATTTTAACCTGTGACTTCTAATGATTTTGTAAGTGTCTACTTAATTCCCTTTCTACTTAAAAATATCTACTGTAATTATTGTTATCTCAAACTGAATCCTGACTCACAGAGACAACAACTAAATACCAGGGCGACAGTCGGTGTGCCAGGGACATACACAAAAACAAAGCATAGGCTGGGCACGGTGGCTCATGCCTGCAAACCCAGCACTTTGGGAGACTGAGGTGGGCGGATCATGAGGTCAGGAGTTCGAGACCAGCCTAACATAGTGAAACCCCATCTCTACTAAAAATAGAAAAATTAGGCAGGCATGGTGGCGTGTGTCCCAGTTACTCGGGAGGCTGAGGTAGGAGAACTGCTTGAACCCGGGAGGCAGAGGTGGCAGCGAACCAAGATCACACTACTGCACACCAGCCAGAGCGACAATGAGAGACTCCGTCAAAAAAACAAAAAAACAAAAAACAAAACAAAAAAACAAAGCATAGTCCCTATTAAGCCTCATCATGATGTACTATACTATAAATTAGGAAAATAGGAGTTAGACATGAAGCAACTAAAGTATACAAAGTAAAGATAGTTAAACCACACAATATTTATCGTAGTGAGTTTGTAAATGGAAAGAATGTATCTATACAGATGTAAACTATATGTTATTTAAAAAGTAGTATAAAGTCAATGTATGAGAAACACAAGATTGTGTTAAAAACATGACAAATTTTCAAGTCTAAAGGTATTTATTTCGACAATACAAACATTAAAAAAACAAAACCATGCAAACTGAAAGAAGTACAACACACATGTAAACAACCTGAATTAAGGAAATGTTATTTCCTACAAATGAAAAGGTTTATTATCTGTATGTAAAAAAAACTTGTAAAAATTCTTAAATAGATATCACAATAAAAAAAAGGGCAGATGATCTGATGAGGCAATTCTCAAAGTACAAATGGCAAGTAACAAAATCACAATCCATTCAATCTCACATGTATTGAAGGAAAATGTCATTTCTTTTAAAAAAGGTTTTCTGCATCAGTTTGGCAAATACAAGAAAGACTGACAAGAGTCAGTATTCATGAGGTGGTGGGGAAACATACACTATATACCCACTGTTCTTAGGAATGTAAATTATTATAACTTTCCTGATGAGAAATTTCCAATCTAGATATTTATTCTAAGGAGTTATCAAAAAAGATCTATGTTTTTTATAATAATATACTTCAAAAATAGTGAAAAATTATAGAGATACACAATTATATAGAATTATTTATATAAAGTATGCTTCATTTACACAACTGAATACTCAGCAGCTGATAAAGTTACTGTAAATCTATATTTCCTGACATGGGAAAATATTTGCAAACACTATTGATCAAAAAAAAAAAAGCCATGTAAAACAACATACATGTAAAAAGGGTATTTGTGCTAAATATTAGACAGTTTTGTTTTACTTTTATTAGCACTTTTGAATTATCACAACTTCACTGTATGTATACTCATGAAAAATAATTTTTCATACTAGTCAAGAATTAATTAGAAGAATTCATAGGTTACCCTTATGTAAAAACAAATTAGCATTGAAGCCTAAAATAATTCCCCCACTTCCACTTTTAAGATATTATTGAGAAAAAGACCTTGGAAATAAAGTTTGAGTTTAAATTGTTTTTCACTATGAAAAAAACACCAGAGGGACTATGTAAAATAAAATAACTACTAAAAAATCTTTGCTGTCAGGTACATTGTAAAAGTTTGTAAAACCAAACATGACATTCATTTCTGCCTCAGAGTCATTCCAATTTTTTTCATTTGCTTGGAATACTCTATTGCCAGGCCTTCACAAGACTTGGTTCTACTTGGCACTGAATTTGTACTTTAAATGTAACTTTCTCAGAAAGTTCTTGCTTAAATACTGAAAAAAATAGCCCACTTCTATGTCAATTACATGTCACTTAATTTTCAACACTGCATATAATATCATCTAAATTATTTTTTCATTTATTTGTTAATTTGTATATTGTCTTCTTCTTCTCTAAAAAATAACCTCCTGGAGTGCCAGGCACTGTGGTTCAGGCCTGTAATCCCAGCACAGTCAAGGCAGGCAGATCACCTGAGCTCAGGAGTTGCAGACCAGCCTGGGCAACATGGCAAGGTCTCTTCCCTACTTAAAGTACAAAAATTAGCCAGGTGGTGGCGAGTGCCTGCGGTCCTAGCTATTCGGGAGGTGGAGATATGGGAGGATTGCTTGAGCTCAGGGCCAGAGGCTGCAGTGAACCGGGATTGCGCCACTGCACTCCAGCCTGGGTGACAGAGCGAGACACTGTCTCAAAAAATAAAAAATAAATAAAAGATAACCTCCCAGAGAATTCTGACTGTACCGTTCATCCCTGTACCCTCAATTTCTAAAATAGTGTCTGGTTCAGAGTAGGATTCAATAAATATTAGTTTGAATAAATTAAATACCTAGTAACTGGCCAGGTGTGGTGGCTCACGCCTGTAATCCCAGGCGTGAGGAGGCCGAGGACAGTGGATCACCTGAGGTCAGGAGTTTGGGACCAGCCTGGCCAACATGGCGAAACATCATCTCTACTAAAAATATAAAAATTAGCCAGGCATGGTGACAGGCGCCTGTAATCCCAGCTACTTGGGAGGCTGAGACAGGAGAATCGCTTGAACCTGGGAGGCAGAGGTAGAAGGGAGCTGAGATCGCACTACTGCACTCCAGCCAGGGCGACAGAATGAAAATCCATCTCAAAAAAAAAAAAAAAAAAAAGCTAGCAACTAACGAACTTTGAGCAATGCTTTCCCTATCAAGTGGAGATAAGACTTCTTCCTATATACCTAACAATAACCTGGTCAATCAACAAATGTTCAGAGTCATTACTAAAGGTCAGGCTCTGTTGTAAGTGCTAGGGATACATTGCATTCAAGTTCAGGCTATTGGGACATTAAAAAATAATTCGATCGCGCATAAGGTTTATGAAAAAAGATAAAATATGACCATAAATCTAGAGGTAAAGGGATACAGAGTTATTTCCTTTCTTAGGGCTTCAGTTCCTTGTCTACTTCTTTCCTTTCTTAATTCCATCATTATGGTTGAGTTTATTAAGCTTAGTTAACCAGTTTATTATTTTTTTCAACAATTATCTACACTTGCTGTGCAAGGTGCTGTAGACAACAAGATTAATAAGATATTGCTTGATTATAGTCTAAATGCTTGAGTCTCCCAAAATTCATATATTGAAACCTAATCCTGGTGTGACAGTACTAGGAGGCAAAGGAGAGGGGCCCTTGGGAAGTAGCTGGGTAGTGGTATTAGTACCTTGATAGAAGAGGCCCAAAAGAGCTGCCATGTTAAAACACATAGAAGGTATCATTCCATGAGGAATGGACCATCACTAGACATCAACTCTGAAAACTTGATTTTGAACTTCCCTGCCTCTTGCGCTGTAATATATTTCTTTCGTTTATAAATTAACCAATCTAAAACATTTTATCATAGCAGCCCAAACAAACTAAGGTATTTCTCATGTTATTAAAAAGGACTAAAATGGGTAATAAAATTAACTTCAAGGCTGGGCACAGTGGCTCGCACCTGTAATCCCAGCACTTTGGAAGGCCAAGGCAAGCAGATCACTTGAGGCCAGGAGTTGGAGACCAGTGAGGTCAATATGGCAAAACTCTGTTTCTAGTTAAAAAAAAAAAAAAAAAAAATAGCCGGGCATGGTGGTGCATGCCTGTAATCCCAGCTACTTGGGTGGCTGGGGCACAAGAACTGCTTGAACCCAAGAGGCAGAGGTGGCAGTCAGTCAAGATCGTGCCACTCCAGCCTAGGTGACAGAGTGAGACTTTGTCTCAAACAAATAATAAATTCAAGATTGGAGCCTAAGTGACTATAAAAATGTACTAGGGGAGCGACACAGTAAAATTACCTTGAGCATGAATTTTGAGACAAGGAAGATATCAAAGTACAAATGTACAACTGGGCTATGCAGCTGTCACTAAAAGAATGTAATTACAAAAATAGGTGATGTTAGAAAAGTAGATCTAATACAAGTGACAGTTTCAAGTTATGAGGGAATAAATTCTAACAAGAAAAATGGGAAAGTACTACCAAAACAGAGCTATCATCTTGTGGAAGGATGAACTTGAGCTCATGAAAACAGCTTCTGCATTTCAAGTGGATGCTTGTCTGATTCAAACTAGGCTAACTTGTTATCCAAAAGTGAACAGCTGTGTGTCATCTCAGAGACAAAGTTGTACAAACTAAGTGCTGACTGTGGCTCCTGTCAACAGGTTTGATGGAAAGGCTCCCTGTAATAACAAGGATCTCAGATTGTTTTCACTTATCCTGCAAAAGCCAACCTAGATGTCATCCCTTCCACCCACTACTTCCACCCATCCACACTCCATCCCTACCTAACTCATCCCTACTT